GGTTTGGATTGAGGGCTTGGGGTTTGAATTAGTGGAATTAGGGTTTAGGGTTTAGGACGTGTACGGCTTAGGCTAGGGGTTACGGGTTTAGGGTTTAGGGCTTGGGGTTTCACGGTTTGGGCTCCAAGTTAGGGATTAGGGGTTTAGGGTTTAGCGTCCAGGGTTTGGGGTCGTTGAGGAAGTCTAGCAGGATGCTTTTACAAAGGGATCCTTCAAGGGCTCCTGGTAACTCAGGGATTCGATCAAGGTTTAGGGTTCAGAACTGCATGCCTTTCGGGGTTCGTGATCCGCGGGCTCAAGAATTCGGATTGAGGCTTCAGGGATCTTCAGGGTTTAGGTTTCTTTTTTTGTTTTTTTTGGTTCGGACCCTCGTGTCTTTTAACCAAAGGCATCCAGACGACCGTACCGGCTGAGGGACGGGAACCCAGTAGCAATACAGAAAAGGAAATTTTGTAGGCTTCTGGGGTTTCGGGCTTTTATGTGCAATGACCCTTTCCCCACAGCAACAGAGGTCGGGGCCTGCCCCAGATTGAGGCTTACACAGAAGAACTACACTTGGGCTCACCATTCACCTTCTGGGCGATCTTCATCATGCTCTTCTGACTGCAGTGTTGGGCCCCGTTGGAAGTGTTCACGAACAACTGCAGTTGTTCCCTCCTCAACACCATTCACAACCATTCCCTTCTCCACCACAAAAGCCACGGTTTCATCATTCATCACCTCGTTCTCTGCAGTGACATCCTCTCCATCTTCATCTCCATCTCGAGCATCCCCACCATCAAGGAGATTTTCACGATTTGGCTCCTCCATCACCCTCATGTTCGTTGGGTGATCTTCCACCGCCTTTCTTTTCGGATTCCGACTTCGCTGTGCAGCACTCACCAATCTATCTCGGGTGACACGTCCATCCGCACATGAAGCTGCCAGTGGTTTTGTGTTCGCACCTTGCGCATGGCAAAGATGGCATCCCCCGACGGGGCCCGCCACTGCCCAGCAAGTGCAGTTGCTCCTGCCTGCAAGAGCATGGCTGGAACAGAGTCCACTTTACGGATCAAAAAAATAAATTTGGATCAAAAAAAATTAAAGCACAAAGATCAACAAAAAATAAAAATTGGCTCAAAAAAATTAAATCAATACTTCCGCCACAAAATCCCACAAAAAACCCTCTATCTCCATCACCCGAACTTCCCGGCCGGATTGCATTCTCACGCAGGCTGACATCAGGCTCATTTGCTTCGACATGTTCCGTCGGGAGGTTCGTGTGCGCAGAGACAAGTTGAGGCCGAGGACGTGCTCGTCCACTTCGACGTCGTCCTTCTTGACATCGCTCACGAGGATGTGCAGGACGTAGGCCTTGATCGGGCCAGTTACTGATTTCTGCTGTGTCATCAGCCTGTATCACATACATGTCCTGATCGCCCTCTGATGGACAGTGACCTCTCGGTGCTGGGCGGTCTTCTCCCGCAAAGATCTGCTCGACTTGTCTCCAAGCTCTGCGTCTGTAGCCAGCCCAGGTGTGTTCTGGTACTCCTTGAAAAGCTTCGGTTGCCTGCTGTAGCGTGGTCGGTCAATTCGGCTGGAAAAGAAGTACAGGCGCATTGACCCAGGTAGCGGCTGCTACACTGCTACACCCCGCTGTTGCTGCCCAGGGGTGCCTCTCTCAAGATGGCTTCCCAGATTCGGCGCTCTCACATGTGAATGTGACCAGCTCGTCCACCACATTCATCGTCATGTAATCGGGTTTCGGGTTTAGGCCTTGTCGTCCGTGGACCAGGATTGAAAGCCGAGGTGTTGAACGGAGACTAATGGTGCGACATGCAACTTGTTGCGAAGCCTGCAAGATAGCAAACCATCTTGACGGTTCTTGCCCAAAGGACTTGTCCGTTGGTGGATCTTCGCATGCTGCATGCTGTGAATCAGAACCTTCTGACTAAACCACAGCCAGCAAACACTTTGGCTCCTGGCGGCGAGCAGCAACAAGCTGCGTCTAGATTAAAGGAAGCCTACCTTGTTTCTTATGTCTAAAGTTGCCGTTTGCTAACAGAGGTTCCCTTTTTGTCCGAGGGCATCCCTCCACAGGAGCTATTTACAATTGCAATGATCACACTCCGACGGGCAGGAACTTGAAACGAGCGCAACATACCTAGCCGGAGGTTTGGGAATCTGGGAAGCCCGGCGAAACTGCGACATGGCAAAACATGCGAACCAAGGATCCGCTTTTTCATTCTGAGTTATGCTGGAATGCAGCGTTCACAACCCGAAACCTGAACCAACAAAACCAAGGTCATCGAGTCCCTGCACACCTCCCTCCACCCTTGGTGGATCTGGAAAGTTTTCTGCTAAAGGGTACTTTAGAGGAGTCCCCTTCAAGGATCGCGGTAAGTTGTTCATCCCGAGCCCAATTTCTGAAAGCAAGGGCGACCTCCCGATCGATGAAGACAAAACTGGTTCTCTGGTTTAGGGAGTTTAGGGCTTCGTTACTACCGCAAACCTCCAGAATCTACTTTTTGTAGGGTTTGACTAGAACCTCTCGTGTAGAACTTACAAGCACCTAAACAAAACTGGGTGATAGTAACATGTTAACCCAAGACAAAGTCCTAGGTTCAGAACCCATGGCTCATACTCCGAGATGCAGAAACCTGCCTCATTTTAAGTAGCGTACTTTATGGCTTCCTCAAGACAATTCTACACCCTGAAGGCCCAAGACCATGTCATTAATGTAGGGGCCTTAATAATTAGAACGGGGTTTTGGGCTCGTCTACAATATATAATAAGGAACCCCCAAACCAGTATAGGTAATTATCTAGTAACTGAAGATTCTTATGTTGAACCCCGGAAAGGGCCTCGGCGCGACGACAAGCCTCCTCTCGCATGTCAAGCTCCCTGGCAGCCATGCTTTTGTCGGCGGTTCGAAATGTGGGGCTTTGGGGTTTATGGCCTCCTTCCAGGGATTCTCAAAAGCCCCAAGGACTATGAGGGTTTCGAACTTGCACAGCCCAAGCACCTTAAGAACGAGAAGCATCATCAAGAAAGCGAACGTATTCCCCTGAGCCCTAAACCCTATAAGCCCATATAAGCTCCTACAAACCCTGAAAACCTACACATATCTATAAACAAAAAAAAATATATATATATATATATATATATATGTGTGTGTGTGTGTGTGCACAGAAATATATCATATACCCTGCAACAAAAACGCAAAGAAACCCTGAACCCTGAACCCTAAAAGCACTATTCCCTTGCTTTTTGCTGTGTGCGCCTCTCTCGGTCCTCAAGGTGGCGCCGAGCCTCCTCCACCTTCACTCAGGAGGGAAGTTGGGTTTAGGGGCTTAGGGGTGTTTAGGGGCTCAGGGGTTTAGGGGCTTAGGCCTTAAGAGGCTCCGGGGTTTAGGGGCTTGGGAGCTTAAGGGTTTACGGGCTTAGGGCTTACGGGTTTAGGAGCTTAGGGGGTTTAGCATTTAGGGTTTTTGCGTTCCTTCGGCGGACCCTGAGATCCTTCGGCCTTTGCCATAATACCGACGTGCGATGCTTGCATGTCCTGGGTTGCTTTCTCATGATCGAGGGCTTAATGAAGCCATTCCATCTGCTACTTAAAGGGTGCAATATTCGTGCCTTTAGGACTTTAAAAGCGCGAACAGGGCTTGGGTGTATATTCGCCCCTGAAGCGATCAGGATGCTCTTATGCTGTCCAATAACCCAGGGTTCTGGAATGAAGACTTAGCAACCTTACTATGCCTGGCGATTCCCTCTCAAAGTTGAACCTCACAAAACCCTGAACCCGATCACCACCGGAACCCGTAAATTTTAAAACCCAAACTATAAACAAGAAGACACTCTATCCCCTAAGCATCCCTACGCAGTAAACACTAAGCCGTATTCCAACACTGTCCAACACTACACTGGGAATCGCAAACCCTATTTCTTAAACCCTGAACCCTCGGTCCCTAAACCCTACGTCCCCAATCCTAAAGCCGAAGGCCTAAAGCAATCCTAAACCCAGAGGCCTAAAGCCTAAACCCGAAACTCCAAGCCGGGGCACCTCTGCCCATGCTTCGGCGAAGTCCTTGGGAAGCTCCGTTGATTTCTTTGGGTCGTGTCTGGAGCTGTGGCAGCCAAGACCACTCCAGGCACCCTAAGCCCTAAACTTCAACTTAGTCTCATCAAATTACAGACGAGGCGTGCACAAAAAGAAGCTGCTTCTTCCAGTAGCCTTGCTTGATTTCTCCGATTCCCTACGTTACGAAAGATCCGGAGGCAGTTGGGCCCGAATCGGGCTTAGGGTTGAAGGTCTTCAGGCATATTCAAGCTTGTTCTCGTTGAGGCCTGGGATTTATACGTAAAGGTTCTGTAGTATCTATGTATAATGGCTCATGGAAAAATTTCGGGGCATGAATATCTAGACAGGGCTTGGGGTGTAAGGACTATGGCACAGCTTGCTGATGGGTCTTACCTCCAGTCTACAATATCGAAAATTGCCAACAAAACCCTACACGATCCTTGCAAAGCCCTACTATACTAAACCATCTAAAACCGTAAAGGCCCTAAGCCCTAAACCCCAAAGTCTTAAAGCCCTAAAGCCCGAATGACTGCACCTCTTGTCAGCTGGGTTGCAACCCTCCTCCAGCCATTTTCCGGGCCGCTGGCGAACCTCTGGGTGCAATTGCCTTACTAACTGACTAGGTCTCAAGGATTTAGATAGGGCTTCAGAGGATCAGGGTTTAGGGCTTAGGGTTTGGGTTGTTTAGGGTTCAGGCATCTCAGGCCTTAGGGATTCAGGGTTTTGGGGTCCAGGTGCTGAAGTCTGATTGCTCCGGTTGTGCATGCATGCTCTAGAATGAAGCTTCGAGATGTGTAGGCACGCCGCTGAGAAGTCTAAGTTAGTGCAAAGCACAGCCAGACCTTAGCAACCGAAGTGCCAAGATCGGCAGAAGCCAGCATACTCGTTGCAGAAGTTTGGAAAATACCGTCAAGCCTTGCATCCCTTGCTGTTCATGGCGATGCACTCTGAAGCCGGGGACACGTCTGCAGAAGTGAATCATCAGCAGGGTATGAGCCCAACGCTGCGTGTACTGGAAGGAGAAGACAATGGCCCTGCATATCAAGATGCAGGGAGACCGCTGCGCCCCGCTGAAAATGGTCACGAGCAGAATGATGTTGCTGGAATGCCCAACGGGGTTCCCAGAACGTTTCCCGCTCCGCATCGTGATGATCCTGGAGTGGAAACCCCTCAAGTGGCACAGCATATGGCTTCAGAAGGGAGCAGAGCAGCATCGGATGGGCTGCGTCAGCTTCCTGTGGAGGGAACAGCAGCCGTACAAGGACTCCAGGTCCCTGACATGATGATTGGGGAGAATCTACCTGGAGATCAAATTCGCAATGGAGCCCCTGGTGCTCCTCAGTTACCTTTTTTTCCGCAATTCGTGCCATCTCCTCTACCGGGACAGTCACCTGTTGATCAAGGGAGGACAGCGCCTCGTGCAGGCTCGTGGTTCTCTCGCCTTGGTGACTATATCCAGAAGCGGGTTGAGGTCACAGCTTGGACAGCACCCCCGTCAGCAGCCTCTCCTGAGGTTCATGGTACATGGCATAACCAGAGCCAGGTACAGACGATGATGATGGCTTCGCCGTCCAGGTCGGAGCATCGCCCCGCCTCAGTATCAAGTGGATCGGGCGGGATACCTCAGGAGATGGTGCAAGCCGAAGTGACTAGACAACTGGATGCGGCTATGAGCGAGGTGATGGCGCGACTGTCGGCAGAGAGGCAGCGGACAGAACAGGCTAATATGGAAGCTCAGCGACTACGAGCACAGCTGGAGCGATATGAGTTGCGGATGCAAGCGCCAATCAGGGAGAATGTTGCAGAGCCCCCGGGTTTGGAGCTCGATGGCCATGGAGTTCACACCAGAGTTCCCCTGCAACCTCCTCTACCTGGTCCTACGAGCTCTACTACAATTCAGGAGCTTCTACCTGGTCCGGCGACTTCTACTACAATCCAAGAGCTTCTACCTGGTCGTGCGAGCCCTACTACAATTCAAGAGCTTCTACCTGTTCCTCCGGTGCCTACTACGATTCAGGAGCTTCTACCAGGCCCAGAGAGATCTACTACAATGCAAGGCCTACAGCAAGGTCGTTCTGAAGGACGGGCATCAGATCCTTATGGAGTTGAGCATGGCGATTGGTTCAGGGTTCCAGAGGGTGTAGCTCACGATTTTAGTGGCCGTGGAGTTCATACCAGAGTTCCCGTGCAACCTCCTATACCTGGTCCTGTTGGTTCGTCAGGCAGAACAAAGTCCAGGTCACAGTCTCCAGGACCACGTGCGTTTTTCCAAGGTCTCTTCAGTCGGGGCAATCGAGATGAGCAAGCTCCCGTGTCAGGTCCTGGTCTGAGCTCTGTGGGCCCTCAGGTTTGTCCAGATCTTCCGCGGCCACCGGTCCTACCTCCTTTACAACCACCAATTGCTCCTTCAGAGGGAGCCAAGGCGCCTGGATCCGTTGAAGGTAATCTACTTGCTACTCTCGCTAGAGGCATTGAGTCGCTACTTCATCAACAACAAGTTCAGGCTACAAGGGTTGACAGACCAGAAACAGTCAAGCCTGGTGTATCGCAGCTCCCCGAACTCCCGGAGTACCAGCCAAGCACAGGATCCATTGACCTTTTGAACTGGATCACACACATTGGTCCTTTGATGGAGGACCTTTCTGATACGTCGTCAATGTGGTGGCAGATGACTCTGAAGGACGCCTTGACTTGGTACTCACAGTACAGCGCGGCACCGCCATTGGAGCGGCTTCAGCTGAAGCCACAAGCGTCTATGGAGCTGCAGAAACCGGAGTGGATCCGGGTAGAAAGGAGGGCGACGGCGATGATGTTGACCGCTGTGCCAAAGCAGGTGCGAGAGGAAGTGATATCAGGGGGACAAGTCAACAGCCTCCATCTCCTGTGCAAGCTTTACTCTGTGTATCAACCTGGGAACTTGCAGGAGAAAAGTTTGGTCCTGCGGATGTTGGAGCAGCCAGATGAATGTGCCTCTGCGTTGGAGGCCGTCGAATCACTACGGCGATGGAACCTGTGGAGGCGGAGGGCGGCTTCGATTGGGATGGCGGAACCGGATGCCTCTGTCCTCTTGCGAGGTTTGGACAGAATCACTGGCCAAATTGTGAAGGCCAATAGCGAGCTCTCCTTCAGGGTGAGCCTGATTCGGAGCACCCTTCAGGTGGATGTGAGTCCGAGCGCAGCATCCATTACCACGTTCTTGCAGCACCTACAGGCCGAGATGGAGCAACAAGCGAGGTTGAGTTCAGTTCGGGTGGACACAGCTGCTGCGGTCCGCGCGGTGACGACTACTGGTGCTCCACCTCCTCCGCCTACGGCTCCCACGACCACTACGACGACCAAGGGAGCAGGTTCGCTGTGTAAGTTCTTTGCGTCGGAGAAAGGGTGCCGTCGAGGGAACACGTGTCGGTTTCCCCACACATGGGCTCTACTTGAGAAGGGTGCCCGACAGAAGAAGTGTTTGTGCTGTGGGTCGACGGCCCACAAGGTGAAAGAATGCCGAGCACCTGGTGGAGGACAGTCGAGTTCGAGATCCCCCACCTCTACGAGGACTCAGAATGCAGGTGCTGCGGAGCAGGGTGTTTCTTCCCCAACGGCGTCTTCACAAGAGGCTCCTCCTCGGAAGGTGAACTTTGAGGGCGATGGTGCGATCCAGGCAAAGGTGATGAAGGTTCTTGCGGGTTTGCAGGACATCCCGCTCTTCCGGAAGGTGATGTCGCGGTTGAAGAACTGGAGTAGCTCTGACTCAGCCCCTTCCCCGAGGACGCGATCAGCGCTCTTGGACTCCGGAGCGACTCATGTACTACGAGGACCAAAGTCTGAGGAGGAGTGGGACCATGCAAGAAATGTACATGTTCAGCTTGCAGGGGATTCCTATGCATCAATGAAGCAAAATGAGGCGGGTTCCTTGTTGAGTGGTGACCAGCTCGCTCAGGTGATCGTTCCGATGGGAAGAGTGATTTCAACGCTGGGTTTTTCGCTCAAGTGGACTAAGGAGGTTTGCCAGCTTGAAGGTCCCGACGGTGAGGTTGTTCCTCTGGACGTCGTGCGGGGATGCCCGCAAGTAAGTGAGAAGGTGGCCCAGGATCTGATTCGGCGCCTTGAAGAAGCACATGTCCCGGAACTACAGCAAACCACTGCCGCGTCCGTGAAGGCGCTGAAGGCGGTGAAGGCCAGCTGGTGGTCGTGCTTGATGGAGTATTCGGTTTCCGGGAATGTGGCGTCAGGTCAGGCTGCGATTGACAAGGCACCATTCATGTGCCACCGCGACATGATGAAGGATCTCCTGGTGATTCCGCGGTCAAGAAAGAGGCCATGGGATTTGATGAAGGAGTTGAACTTGAATAGACGTTCAAGAAAGCGCCTCATGAACTCGGCATCCTGGGTGGTTCGTTGGGATGCGCTTACTGTGGAAAGGCGGCGAGACGATCTGAAGCAGCTGTCGTTGGCCGGTGACACCATCTATATCAATGTGAACACCTTGCTTGTTGAGAGTGAGTTTCTGGATGTGTGGAGGATTTTGTCATGGGCGGCTTCGGTTGGGAAGATAGGAGCTGTGGTCTCCCGGGACAGTCCCGGCAATCGCCTGGATCAGGTCATTGCGCCCCAGCATCGGAGTAAAATTCACTTCCTCCATGCTATGGCCACGGCTGGAAGGACCGCTCATGGACAAGGCCCTGTGCGACTCATGGTTGAGGATTTGCATAGAAGGGCGAGTTCTGAGGACAAGGTGTATGCGGAGGTTTGGCCGGCGTGGTCCTGTTGTCGAGATGCTCAGGATTACATGTCTGAGATGGGCCTCATGGACATCTCCGTGGAGAAGTTCACAGGCGAGCGGCATTTCAGAATCGCGAAAATGGATGCCGATGCAGCTTGGCGACTGCATGTGATGCGGGGCCACCAGCCCTTCCGCCGCGATTGTGCGGTATGTGTTCGCAACAGTGCTTCGGGCAAACAGCACAGGGCCACGATGCACCCCATGGCTTACACATTGAGTGTGGATGTAGTGGGTCCCTTAAAGGGCTATGGGAAGTCTCCAGATGGAAAGTATTTCAAGTACTTTGTGATTGGGGCTTTCAGGATTCCAGATGTTCATGGGGGGCATGGTCATGCAGATGTGAAGGGGCATCCAATACCCCCTCCGGACTCGGATGGACATGAAGATGATGAAGAAGATCAGTTGTCCGAGGAGGAGGTTGCTGATGATGAAGGGCCCGTGGAAGCGGACTATGTGGATGCTTCTCAAGTGGAAAGTGAAAAGGAACAATGGCGACAGCTGCTCGCTACGTTCAAGGAGCCGATCTCTACTACGACCCTCTACTTTGCGGTTCCCGTGAACAACAAGAAGGCGGCGACGATGCTGCCAGCAGTTCAAAAAATGGTCATGGACGTGAAGGCTCTTGGATATCCAGTTACCCGCTTGCATTCAGATCGTGGCGGTGAGTTCCGAGGGCACTTGGTTCGACGATGGGCCCTGTCGCAGGGCATGTGGCCAACTACGACATCGGGGTCGGAGTCGGCATCAAATGGTGTGGCTGAGTCAGGGGTTCGATACCTCAAGCGCCGTGCCCGGATTCTTCTGGACAGTGGAGGAATCTCGAAAGAGAACTGGCCCACGGCGGTCCAGTATGCGGCTGCTCAGCAACGATGTGATCAGCTTGGAGTTCTGTCTCCTCTTCCTGTTGCCTATGGGACCAAGGTTTATGTGAAGACCAAGAAGTACAAGACTGGAGCCGTGGAGGACTTTGGTCATCATTGGGTCCAGGGCAGATATGTGGGTCCGTCGACGGACATACGGGGAGGACACGTGATTTTGAAGTCCACAGGCACGTTCGTGCAGACCACCCATGTGAGGATCGCTCAAGAGCCACCTCCTTTGGACGAGGTAGCACCTGTTGTTCTGGTTGAGGAACCCCGGGTAGATGCTGAAGTAGATAGTGAACCTCCTCTACCACCACCTGCTCGACCACCATCTGCTCGACCACCACCAGCTACTAGACTTCGTGAAAAGACCCCCAGTGTGGCTGCATTGGGAGAAGTTTACGAATCCTTTGTCGGGTTGTCTGAGGCCCGCGGTGTGGTGCAGGATGATTCAATCATGAAGTACTTGAGGGTCGAGGAAATTCAGTATGTGGAAAGGATAGCCCAGCACCTGTACCAGGACCGGAAGTTTGGTGAAGATCATATGAAGCAGGTCCTTGGTGTTCTCGGTGGAACTTGTGGCAACTTGAAGGTTCCTCGTGCTCCTGGAGGTCAGGGGCTTGTGCTTGGAGCGTATGTTCATGGAGGTTCGTTCGGAGTGACTCGCTATGGGCGAGATCTCCCTTGGGTTGCTCAGTACCTGAACGGGTATATGGCCCACAAGATCAATGAGCATGGAGTGGCAGTGAACCCCACGTGGACGACATTAGCCATTCAGGCTGCCGAACAAATACCCCGGCACCGGGATGTACACAATGAGCGAGGCACCTACAACTACGTGTGTGAAGTCAAGGCGGAACCTACGAATGGTTTGTGGGTTGAAGACAAGGGCTATGAGCGCAGAGTTGTAGGTGGTGAAAACCCTCGAGATTGCCAACTTGAAGGTCAGGACGGTGAAGTACGTGATGGTTGTTTGATCGACATCACCCAGAAGCCGGCAGTGTTTGATCCGCGGGCTCCGCATGCCTATGTCAAGGGAGATGGTGTGCGTTGGTTTTTGTCAGCTTACACTCCCCACGGTGCCTACAAGTTGAAACAAAGTGATCAAGATTATCTCCAGAAGTTGAAGTTTCCTCTGTCTGAGGAGGAGAATCGCCTTGGAGGCGGGACGCCGGAAACCACACCGGTACTGAAGGCATCATCCTTGCCATCTGAGCTGTTGAGTGGAACTTGCAGTTGTGGTGATGATGTGGATGAAGTTTTCATTGGAGATTGTGAGGGCACCTTGTGGGATTGGGCCATGTATGTTGAGGAGGAGCCACCCGTTGAAGTTGATGGTGATGATTATGCCGATCAAGTTCGGGGTTTGCGCAAGGTTTGTGGCTCCGATGACCCTGCGGGTGAGCTTCCGGTTTTGATCAAGGCCTCGGATGTGTTGCTTGAGGAGGACATATCGGAATCTCTTCAAGATGATCTGGTCGGAAGGTTGGAGTACTGGTGCGGCCTTGATGTTCCACAGGGATTTCCTGGTATGGCAAAGATGGAACCTGAGTACACCGAGGGTGTTGAAGATATCATCAAGAAGGCAGTTCAAGAAGGGACCCCCCTCCGCCATACCTACAATGTGAGTCCCAAGGAGGCTAGATCCGAGATTGAGCGCTGGAGGCCGGCAATTGAAAAGGAAGTTGGAGTTGTCGAAAAGGGGTTCAAGAGGATCCATGTGAAAGACATTGAGAAGCTGAAAACGGAGTACAACGTTCAGGAATTGCCGTCCAAACTTGTGTACACCGTTAAACCACCATCGACTACTTCCTCTTCGGACTCTGGCGATGAGTCCGGGTTCTGCAGACGCAAGGCCCGTATCGTGTGCTGCGGCAACTTTGCCTCCGATGAGGCCGGAGACATCTTTGCCGGCGGCGCGGCCGCCGAAAGTCTCCGATGTGCCCTTACCTACACCACTGCCAGGCATTGGATCCCGGGCATTGTGGACGTGACGGCACTCCTTTGCCTCAGGGCAAGGGAGTAGTTCACTACATCATACGACCACCAGCTGCTTTGGTTCAGCTGGGATTGGCTACCGAGTCGGAACGGTGGCTGTTGACTCATGGAATGTACGGCCTACGCCAATCACCTCGGCTTTGGCAAGAGTACCGCGACTCCGAGCTCAAGCAGTTGAAGTTTGATCATGAAGGGCGAACATGGTCGCTGTACCAAGGTCGGGCTGAACCCAACCTGTGGATGGTCTATGAGGTTGGTTGTCCAGATGGTCAGCCTTCAGGAGGCCTGATCTTGGTCTACGTCGATGACATCATGTTGGCAGGACCCCGCGCGTTGATTGAGTCCCTGGCGGCTACCATTGGAAGGATTTGGAAGGTGTCAGAGCTGGATGTTCTTTCAGTGGATCGAGATATTCGGTTCCTTGGTTGTGAAATTTCCACCAATGACAATATGGACTGTATCTACATCCACCAGCGACCCTACATCAACGAGATCCTCCGTCACCACGACATTTCCCCTCAATCCTTGTCCTTCATTCAGGCTCCAAGGGAGATGGTGACGTTCGAACCCTATGAAGGGGAAGATCGTGGAACCGATCAACAGATCAAGGAGGCTCAAAGACTATGCGGTGAATTGCTCTGGCTTGCTCAACGTTCGCGACCAGATGTTGCTTATGTTGTCAGTGCGATGGGTTCCTTGCTAAGCAAAGCTGCTCCGAGGTGCATTGCCATAGGGCTCCGGTTGTTGTCGTATTTGCAGCAGACTCGTGACATGGCATTGACATTGAGATCGGTGTCAGAAGAGCTGGTGGCGTATTCCGACAGCTCATTTGCCCCAAGTGGGGCCCGGAGCTTCTCAGGGATTGTCTTGAGTTGGAGAGGCTCCCCCATCACGTGGAGGGCAGCGAAGCAGCCGTTCGTATGTCTGAGTACGGCGGAGTGTGAGTTGGTTGCTTCCATTGAGGCATTGACTATGGCGAGGTCCTTGCAAGCAATCCTGCACCAAATTGACCCTGCGAGGCCAATGCTTACTCTGGGAATCGATAACCAGGCAGCGATTGCGATTGCCTCTCCGTCTACTACTGCCTCGTGGCGTACAAGACACCTCCGCGTACGAGCTGCTTACCTACATGAGCAAATCGAGGAGAAGATGATAACCCTCCGGTATGTCCCGGGGAAGGACCAATGGGCTGACTTGTTGACGAAGAGTTTCCCTCGACAACGCTTGCAGGAGCTCACGGCTTTGTGGGGCTTTGTAGACCTCGCGAAAACCTCCATCATGAAGGCTATGTTGCTGTGTTTGATGCTGCAAGCTGCCCGTGCTCAAGAGGATGAGCAGGAGGAGCCACTGGCACTAACTACGTCGTTTGAGCTCTATGTCATGATTGCTGTCTTCGGGATTGCAATGGTGGGACTTTGGGAAGGTTTGTGGCTCTGTGTTGATCGGTGCTGCTCACGTCCTGAAGAATCTCGAGGGAGCCGCAGACTCCGGAGACTTCAAGAAAGTGTTCGTCGAGAACTACAAATGCAGTTGGATGGGCGAGAAATGGATGATTCTACATCGTCCCCACCGCCTACGGCCCCTTCCGGAACATCCAGTTCGGGATCATCTTCGGCGTTTATGACACCAAGGCCTACCTCGCGAAGGGCAACATCCAGGGCTACCCCATCACCGAGGCCAGACGTGCCTCTAGGGGGGACCAGTTCAAGAATGAGGCAGGCCGCTGCCTCTAGTTCCCAGCAACCTCCTCTATGTACGACTACCGATGTTGGGATTCAGACCGATCTGGCATGGCCTCCTCCGAGACCGTTGATATGCTATCAGGATCGTGCAGTACCAACTCCAGTTCCAGATCCCGATGGCTGGAACTATCCCATATATGTTAGCCCGGCAGGTGACCACTTCCATACCTATGAACGATGCTGGGGCTTGAGGAACACGAAGGCAAGGGCAGTGCGCCTATGCCAATGTTGCCGGGACAATCACGGCAAGTCTCTTCGTGATAGAGGCTGAGCACATCCGGGAGCAGGTGTATAAAGTGGGGTGTGATCGCCCACCAAAGACGGGCGCTCAAGGAGGAGTGCTGAAGTCTGATTGCTCCGGTTGTGCATGCATGCTCTAGAATGAAGCTTCGAGATGTGTAGGCACGCCGCTGAGAAGTCTAAGTTAGTGCAAAGCACAGCCAGACCTTAGCAACCGAAGTGCCAAGATCGGCAGAAGCCAGCATACTCGTTGCAGAAGTTTGGAAAATACCGTCAAGCCTTGCATCCCTTGCTGTTCATGGCGATGCACTCTGAAGCCGGGGACACGTCTGCAGAAGTGAATCATCAGCACCAGGGGTTTAGGGTTAAAGCGTAGGGTTTGAGCGTCGGGTTTCGGGTTCGGGGCCCTGGGTGCATGGCATCTCTTTCTCGCAAGACCCGACCGACCGACACCACAGAGGAGTTGGGCCTGCGATCCTGTGCATCCAGACCCACCGCCACAAGAACTGAGTCTCATAAAACATTGTCGCTCGAGCCGCTCGGAGCGATCCTCATCGTCGGCATCCGAAGTTCTTCGACCATTTTGCCTTGCCTAAGCTGAGAGACGCAGTTGAGCGCGCACAAGCCTCAAATTAGGTCTTATTTGCAAAAATCATTATGCAAATACGTTGCTCGACCTTGCCCACCCTCAACTTAACGTGAAGGTCCGGCTAAGTCCATGGTTTCTTGCCACGGCAGGCTCCACGCAAGAAAAGTTGGAAGCGCAGCACCAGTCCTTTGATACAACCTCGTCAGCCTTAGAACGACACACAAGAGGCCATAAGTAACTGGAAATGGGCGGACGAAGTCTGCCAAGGCTGTCACGCGAGTCTTTTCCTGTGCTAGCGTGCGGACTTCAGCCGCTCCACCTCCCCATGGGCGGCTTTTAGCTGGGCCTCAACACAGCATGCTTCGTCACGTGTAGGTGATGCAGACTCTGCGCGATGAAGCCACGCCTGCAGGTGTGCCAGCTGCACCTTCAGTGCAGTCACCTCCCATCATCAGCAACCGAACCATGGCCTATACTTTGAAGCGCCCGCTCCTGTAGTTGTCTTGCTTCACTGGACTTATAGCTTTTTGAGCAACAAGAACGCAATTTTAGAATCAACTTTGGCCAAGCTGCTTTGAGAGCGGCGAGATTCGCACTTGTCCAGCGCTGTCCAGGCGTGGCCAGTGCGGCCAGGATGTGTGTGTCGGCTTCTGCTGGTCCACGACACTGCCATATCATGGCCCCTGCGGGGTTGTTCAAGCTGTTCCTGAAGTTGACGATGATCTCTGTCTCAGCAGACAGTTCTGATGACAGCGAGCCGTCGAGGGCTCGCCGTGCATAATCGGAGCTTAGTCCAGTCTTCGTGTCCAGCACGCAGCCTGAACTTTTCAGCGCTGACACCAGGCGCTCAGCCTGAGAAGACCCAGAAACTGCAATGGGCTGAGAGATGGCTGGCATGATCGACATCTGTTCACAACTGTGTCTCTCAAAACTCTTGGGAGTGGGATCTTCGAAGGATTTTGAAGGCAACTCCGTTAGCACAAATGGGGAGATCAAACAAACCACTAAACGCATGTTTGCAATTTTCTGGGTTTTTTGCCTCTCCAGCCTGGCGCTCATTGGCCCCTACATGTCAAAGCAATCGTCTGCGCACTCTTCCATTGCGCGCAGCACTCCCACAGCGGGGTGGCTGGGTGGATGAGTGGGTGGAAAAAAAAGGTCTGCTTCCACCGCCCTCGCGGCCTGGATCCAACAATCTCAAGAGCCGCAGCATGGACTGAAGCAAACTTGCACGGCACGCTCGCCATGCCCTCCCCAACTCAAACCCAATACCGGTTCCCCCTTCCACATCCCCCCTATGCATGGTACCCCCCCCCCCCCCCATGCACGGGTCCGGAGCCTGAGATGCCTGTGCAGCCCCTGTTCCACAGAGAGAGAGGGGGGAGGGTGACATCATGTGGGCTTATGAACTAGTACTCTATATTATTACTAAGTAAGCCAGCTCCTTCATTGTTCTATGATACGAATTCCTTGATTCCTGCATGCCATGCATCCCGCTATACAAGATGTATAATACTAACCATGATCATCAATGATCATCATCCTCGAAGCCGAACGACACGAAGGTCACAATCCTCCCGGCCCCAAAGAAACTCTAAACCCCTCAACCCCTAAACTAGTTTATGGTTGGGATAGGATTAAAAATCTAAACCTGTATTCCTTATTGGTTTTAAGTACCGATAAACATGTAAAATCTTACCCAACTATGACAAAGTGAACCCCAAACCCTAAACCCGAAACCGCTCCATCTCGTGGAAGGCGCTTAGCATACTGGCTCAAGCCAGCCTACAGCTTCCTTGACTTCCGTACGCCTCGTAGATTCCCTAAACCCTACAAACCCAAGCAGATTTAGTAATCTTTTGCTTTGTGCCGACACTTTGTTGAAATTTTTGCAGATTTAAGCTATCCTTTTCAGGGTACAGATACTATGAGCATATGAGCAACGAGCAGACGATGCATCCTCTGAACCTTCAGGTTCAGCACCAGAGAACCACCACAAACCCCACTCGTCCTTGCTCTTGCCATGAAGATCCAACAAATTCCTATTACGAACGACCCGAGATTCCGAAGCCCTCATGAACCACAGACTGAGACTATTCTCTCATAGCTAGATCGGCATGATGAGGCTCTTTTGAAACCGGAGTTTACCCTAACTCTACATTAACCACCAGAAAACCCCCTTCAACATACGTACTGGCAGACCGGACCAGCCATCGCTGGGACGCGGTCGTAGAGGCCTCGGAAAAGGTTCGAGGCCCAAGCTACACGTAATAAGGCCTTAATAACCAGAAGAAAATGGGACCATCAGAGAGCAAACTACTCCGCTGTCCATACTTACAGGCTCCGGTATGAAGTAATCTATATAAATTACCCTCCAGACTTTGCCTAAGTGCCTAAGTGGTTATTCCTGCAACTTCCTCGAAAGCCCCGTCAACACTCACTTGAGGAACTTCGGGTCTCGGGATAGGGTTTGGTGGGCAGGGTTCAGCTCAGGAGTTAGGGTTCAGGGCAGGTTTGGGCAAAGTATGTAATCATGTATGTATGTATGTATATATATATATATATATATTTTTTGTTTATCTATCTAAACTCTTGTAGATGTACACACGTACACACATACAAACGATACAAAAAGCCCTTAAACACCAACACCCGAAATCCCAAACCTCTATGAGCCGTGGACTCAGCCCCCGGCGGCCACTGCGATCGGCCCGGTGGGGGAGCGGTTTGAGGAGCCTCGCCCATGCCCCAGAGACTCCAATATCCCTTGATCAAGGAATATTCCTTGAATCATATTTCGGATCCTATTATATAATTTAAGGTATATTCCTTAATTAAGGGGTATTGGAGTCTCTAGGCATGCCCCACCATCCCAAACTCAGCAGATTGCTCGGAGTTTATAGGGTTTAGGACAGTTTCGGATCTACCTATAGTCTCCATTGTAGTTCCTTTTCTTGGTTAACGAAACACTATATTATAGGATCCGAACCATAAAACTGGTCAACCGGAAAAGGAACTTCAATGGAGACTGTAGGTAGGGTTGAGGGGTCGGGGGATCTACAGGGTTTGGGGTGCAGTGTTTCTGCTAGTTGTTTCGGGGGCTCCAACACTAAACCCTGACGTCTTGGATTTCAAGGTTCTCGTCACAGAACAGCCGAAGAAATCGGACGTGAAAGACATTGTTCCAAACCAGTCGGGCAGAACTATATACCAGCCTGAGGGGTGCTCAAAAACAGCTATATCAAAGGAAGAGTACTACTAATTGGGTGGTTGTCAAAACTGTGGTCTCTTTTTGGGTACTATTATAGTACGGCACCTATTATTTAAGGTACCCAAAAAGGGACCCTAATTTTGACAACTAACTAATTGTTCATCCAGGGCCATCGGAAAGACCCTCAAAGATCCTGTTATACGTCGGTGCAGAAGCCTACAGTCGGGAAACAGCTCAGTTAAGGCCCCTATCTTGGTGGTTAAGATCTCACACAAAGCCGTTGTAGGCTTCAAACCGAAGGCAAATTATACTGGCTTCTGATGTAAGGGATTCTGCATTGCAAGCTTTGCTTTGCAAGGTGAAGGTCTGCAATCTACCGTCTGGAGTTCGGCGAACCTTCGCGGAAACGCTGGCTAATTTTTTCGCTTCCACAGCAGATGTCGGGCGCTGTCAATCACGAAGATTCCCATTGCTCACGATGGGGCCGGAAGCCCTACACATTTTGGGAAGTTTGCATCTCTTCAGCAAGAAAACTTCAGGGACTTAGCAAGTGGACCAGAACCCCACCTGGGTGGTTGTCAATAATATGCTCCCTTTTTGGGTACCCAAAATATTAGGTGCCGTACTATCTTCGGGACCCAAAAAGGGACCAGAGGTTTGACAACCACCCAGTTCACTCTCCGTCATGGCGAACTAAATCTCTGTCCACCCCAAAAGCCCCTTGACTGAATCCAGCAAGGAATACTGAACATTACCCTAAACTCTAAACCCTAAACCCTTAAAACCCTAAAGCCTAAAACCCTAAACCCTGAACCCTAAAACCTTAAACCCTAAACCCTAAAACCTCTGAGTCGAGTACCACACAACCCTACATCTGAGACTGTTAATTAACACTATGGGTGTTTAGGGTTTAGGGGTTTAGGGCCTAGGGATAACCCTAAAGGGTTTAGGGTTTAGGGTTTGGGGTTTAGGGTTTAGGGGTTTAGGGCCTAGGGATAACCCTAAAGCCATCAGTCACATGAGACCCCCGAGTATTCACTTCCCGACGCCTTCCAAAAGGATGCTGAAACAGAAACCCCGAACCTACACTCCGAACCAGTACTATAAAAATCACCCTGACAAGCCTTCGGGGTTTAGGGTTTAGAGGGATGGTACGAGATGGGGCCAGGGTGCGGCTTGGCCATGTCCGTGGGTCACAAATCCAGTTGGTCTGGATCGTAGCCTAGCTGACGACCTACTTCTGTTGATGGTATATATCCTGCATTACCCATAGTAGGGAATATACCATAAATCCCATAGTTTAGGGTCATTATGATAATGCAGCTTCCTATATGTGGACTGTACACATTGCGGCTATAAACAGGTTGTTCAAGCTGCTCCACCAGAGAACTGTTGTGACATCTTGTGACACCCTACCTCGAAGAGATCCGAAACCCTAAACCCTAAATCCCTAACTCCTAACCTAAGCCCCTACCCCCTAAACCCTAAACCCTAAATCCCTAACCCCTAACCTAAGCCTCTAACCCCCCAACACCTAAACCCAAGGGAGCCGGGGAATCTTTAAGAACTCCCTCCGAAGCTCCCGTTTCTTCTGTCCAACTTCGGGGAGATTCACCGGAGATTCTGCTACGGCGTGTCGTGGCACAGCGAGGAGGGCTTTTAGGGTTCAGGGGTTCAGGGCTTAGGATTTTAATGCGATTTTCCAGGGTTAGCTTCAGTGGGGGGAAGGATCTGGAGTTTAAGGGTTTAGGGCTTAGAGTTTCAATGCGACTTTCCGGGGTTAGCTTCAGTGGGTTCCTTTAGGGGTTACTGCAAGGGCATGCTACGGGGGCTACTATTCAAGGTCTATTTAGGGGTATCACGTTTAAGGATTAAGGCTCTAGGTAGGGATGTAGGTTCAGGGTTTGGGGGTTTAGGGTTAGGGTTCGAAGAGACTTAGTATTTGGATTCGGGTCCCTTTGTGGCTTGCTGGTTTGATGGCTTCCCTCCTGCGCGACGCCGTGCGAAAGAATCATTCTCCACATAGTCTGTGAGCTGAGGCTGAGGGCTTGGGCTTTAGGGACATTGACATGCTGAGAGCATCGTGCCACAAACGCCGAAGCACGTGAGTGAACCCACGACGGCGGAAGACCCATGCAGGCACTACATTCTGCCCCTGCTTGCCCTTCTGCTTGCCCAAACTGAGCCCAGTCAGGGGGGCAATGCGACCCCGAAGCTACGAGCGTGTCCTTAGAATTACACTGGATCTCAGAACCTTTCTACATGGGAGTTTCGGAAAATAGGGGGACCCTAATATAGTACCCTAAATAGTAGGATCCTTATTATAAGGACCCAAAATAAGGTACCCCTAATTTCGGAAACTCCAAATAAACCCTGCACGGTAAGCCTGTACTTACCCTAAGGTCCCATAGTAGTTCCTTTTCGGGGTTCATATTTAGAATCCTATAAGGTGCTCCCAAAAAAGAAACTACTTTGGGGCCTATGGGTAAACCTTGCACTGTAAGCCGTTTGAGCAGCCAGATCTGCAGCGGGCGCTCTGAGGTGCAGCCAACATGTCAGGCTCGGGGTCAGCAACAGCAGATTCTGTTTAGGGCTCACAGGCCTAGTGATTTTAAGGTTTTAAGGCTTAGGGATTAAGAACTGCAACAGCAGATTCTGTTTACCTAGACCCACCCAAAGTAAGTCAAATAATGGCCCATGAAAGTCCATTATTCTACATACTTTTGGGGTCTTTGTAGGGCTTACAGGCTTAGCGATTTAAAGGTTGAAGGCTTTAAGGTTTTAAGGCTTAGGGTCTAAGAACTGAGATTTAAATAAGGCTGAAGGCTTTAAGGTTGTAGGGTTTTAGGGTTTAAGAACTACGAGTTTAAGGGCTCAGAATTAGGCCTTCAGGTTGCTGGCGGCTCTTGCATAACAACGAGGGGCCCTTAGTGGGGACCCCTACCTTATAATGGGCTGTATAATGGGTATAGAAGACTTCTTCTTCTTCTTCTGGTGGACTGCAGAGTCTTCCCGTAGGGCTGACGCGTCCCAAAAATCATGCATTGGTGAAACAAGGTTTGTGTCCCCAGAACGAGACGGCAGACTGTCTCGGACCTTCTGTACTAGCACTGTCCAAGTACTCTTGGAGCCACTGCAACGTTGAAGCCTTAGGCTTGAACGGAGCGGCAAGTTCGGACAGTGTGATTTGATCCTCAGCGCTCGAGGGGTCCGGGAGTCGCTCGTCCGCGGTGGGGAGCAAGGGCCCGTGGAGGAAGGCGGACTGGCATGGTGCCGTGAAGGTCTTCCAAGAGCCCAATCGAAGTCGTTTGGCTGCCTCACGGTCCGACTTCTCGACCTGTTGGATAGTGTCGTGATCCATGGGTGCAAAGAGATGAGCGCATCTCCAAAGGCACTGCGGACGGCTGCGGAGGTGCATCTGTACTCTTGCCACGGTGCCATAATGCTTGAGACATGCCAGGCAATGTGTGACGGGTGCGAAATGCCGGGAGGGGCTCAACACAGAATGGGTTCGTGCAAGATGGACACCTAAGTGTTTGCGGAGGGCAAACGACGAAGGACAGTATGGACAGGCGTACGGCCGCGAGACCGGCGTAGCCGGCGGCGGCTGCGATCTATCGTGACTGTCCATCCACCGCTCCAAGTGCCGCTGAAACTCCTTGCATGCTTTGATGGTTTGGTGTAACCACCATCGGGGCTGCTCTACCAGAGCTGTCAGCAGGGAGGGTACGACCTGGTCGTTGGGTACACAATTGGCAACATCTGGGACATACAGCGACACAGCCTCAAAGTCTTGCTCCAGTTGGTGCAACCAAGACGACCGTCTGTGTTCGCACCAATGCATGTAGAGAAGATAGGTGAGGACAGTGGGCCCCGCTGCAGTGAGACGTGCCAAAAAGCCTGCACGTGCACGGGCCAGTGCCAAGGGTGGCGAGGGTGCCTGAGCGGCATGAAGGACCCTGTAGGCATGAATGCTCCTAGTGGCAGACTGTCGCATGAACAACGATCGCCAGAGTCCGACATATTGCTGCGACCAAAGACGGCGATGAAACGCGGCCTGAAGGAAAATCGCCGCTCCAGTATGCGCAAATTTGGAAATGGCCAAGGAGCGTAGTAGGGTCCGTCTGGTGGGGAGAGGGATATCCCTACAGGCAAACAATCGTCGGCGCAAAGGCTTAATGACGGCTAGAGCTCGGGAATGCCGATGATGAAGATCAACAATCGGCGAAGCGTTCGCTGTGATGATACCCCCTAGATGCTTGTATGCATCAACCAAGAAGAGCACATGCTCGTCGTGAGTCAAGGCATCAGTGATTGGTATATAGACACTGTCGTTTTGAGTGAGGCACTGTGGTGGTAGGTCACGTGGGATCCACGGGGGAATCAAAGCAGCGGTTTTTTCCCTCTCGAAGGTCAGTTTCATACCTAAAGAAGAAACCTTAGCAGAGACCAAACCAACCGAAAGCTGCACTCGGTTCAGGAGATCGCACGGTGAATCTCCGTCAACCGGTTGCACAAAGTCGTCCGCCCATGCCGGACAACCCCAGCTCACAGCGTCCGTAGTGTCGGCCCACTGATGGGGCGACGTGATGCGGGGAGTATGGGGTAGCAGGCCAGCTTTGTCCATGGCCTCGTCGATGGACCGAAGAAGTGCTGACATGGCACGCCCAAACACCGCATCAGCTGCTGGATCTCCAGGCCTTGTGCCGCGTTCAGTAAGGGTAAGAAGGGCACTGCCTGTGATGCGGAACCACGTGCCTTTGTACAAGTCCTGCACTAGGGCGGTGACATGTGAGCTGGTTCCGAGCTGCGGCAGCAACGCAAGGTCGCGAAGTTTGTCGCGCAGTTCACTGACAGCAGCTGGGGGTAATGCCATGCGGTGGAGCAATTCGAGGAGGCCGTTATCCGTATGCGTGTGTGGGGTGATCAACTCACGTATAACGGAGTAGAAGGCGGCCTGTACATCATAAAAGATCAGAGCCCAGGGCTCTCGACGAGCGTCCCTCAGATGCAAGAAACTCTGTGCGGCAAGCGAGATATGCTCAATGCCTTCTCCGGGGATGGCTCCAGCTTGGAGCGCCGGGCGCGTGATCTGTAGCCTGTCAATGAGTTGTCCTCGTAGACGCCGGTGAAGTACCTTGCCAGGTACACTGCTAATGAGAATGCTGCGGTAGCTGCTGCAGCGAAGCGCAGCACCAGCCTTCTTGGCGAGGCAGACTAGCTCGCCTCCCCTAAAAAGGACAGGTTCACGTAGTCCTGCAGTGGCTTTCAAAAAGACAGCGAACATCTGTCTCGCCGTTGTAGGTACATGAAGCTGCAGCAACTCACTGGTAATAGAGTCGGCGCCAGCCGCTCGCCCGGTCCGGAGCGTGAGGGTAATGGCTTCAATTTCCCCAAGAGTGGGCAAGGCATTGACATCAAAGATGCCGGGTCCCGTCTGGGCGGGGAGGTCCCGCATGTGTGCGATATATCCTGGACCCGTGATGGCGGTACCCGTTTCCTGTGATGCAAAGTGATCACGCCAAGTGGCTATACGGTCCTCAGCAGTAACAGCAAGTTCCCCGGAGGGTGTTTCAACTGCAGGCAGCGCCTTGATAGATGAGCGCTTGGCTGGCCTGGTCGTCGGGAAAGCCTTGCGGACTGCGGCATACAGCCGTTTGGGATTGCGCACATCTTGTAGCGACACTTCGCTAGCGAGCTGTTGCAAGTAGGTTCGGCGGTCCAAGGCGACCTGTCGTCTGAGAAGCTCGCCGGCATTGTGGAAGCGGTGCCAAGCTTCGGCTTCGCTATAATCAATCTCGGCAGTCCAACGGGCTACCGTGGCCAATTGGCCTGGTCCGAAAGATTGGCCGCGAGCGAAGAGCATCCAAGCTGCCAAGCAGATGATGAGACGGCGTCGTTGCCTCTCGCTGGCCTCCTGCTTGAGATATCCTCGGAGGCCTTGCCTTACCTGAACGAGGTGTTCACTGGCCTGACTGATGTAGGGCTGTGTGGGCTTATGAGTTGCTGCAGGTGCCCACTGGCCGCCTACAGTTCGCCAGAAGTCTGCAAGGTAGTGATAATGGTCATCAACATCCTCAGACCAGGATGGCGGCAGGAAATTACATAGCGCCTGCTGCAGGGAGGCTGCTGTCTGGGGATTGTCGGGCCGGACTGGCCGGACTGGGGAAGCTAGCTTGGGCTGATAAAAGGCCGGAGGTGCCTGAGTGGATCCAGTGCATTGAAGGTGGACCGGAAAATGGTCGTCCTTGGCCTGCAGCAGCTCCAAATGGGTGAGGACTTTGGTACGCAGGGAGAAACCAGTCCAATGCTGCGGGACAATGAAGTAATCGATGCGGTGCCCGTCGCCGAAGGGCGACACCCACGTGACACTTGGGCCGACATGAATATCGGGAAAAGTTGTGGGTAAGAATGCGGCTAGGCTGTGCAACACCTCATGGAGAACCTCTCCAGGTGGGTTTTCGGTTTCACTGGCATACGAGCCGATGCATTCGGAGGTGATGCTCCCTACCCTAGCATTAGCATCTGTGAGGACCAGGAAATCGTATCCCGGCGGCCGGCGAGTTAAATCATGAACCCGCTGCCGCCAGAAAGCCTCATATTCGGAAATGGGCGTTTTGGCGGCTGAAGGACAGTGGGCCACGAGTACAAGCAGATGCAAGTGGGTCGCAGAAATAGTGACGGCCAGGTGCCGGGGGGAGGCACTGAGCACATTAACCACATCCGAGGTTACAAAGCATGGCTTGCCAGCGCAAACAGCGTAAGGCACTCGTTTGGCAATCCACAGCGCACAGCCGCCATGCCCTCGCTCTGTGGCACTAGATTGCAGGATGAGGTAATCGCTGTCTGGTTGCGTGCTGTCCTCAGGGAGCCGTGTTTCTTGCAGTCCCACAAAGAGGGGGGATAACGGTCGCAGCTGCGCTTTGAGTAGGGCCTTGCGTCCTGGCAGGCGCATACCGATGTGCTGACTCTGTTGAGGTGTCGGCGAGTCACGTAGCGTGAGAACATTATAGGTGATGGCCACAAAGTCATATAAGTGCACTTGGCGGCCCGGATGTGTCGCCCCGGCGGCGCAAAAGGGGAACAAGTGGGACGAGCGTCCAAGGCTTGCATCCTATGCGCCTCAGTTTGAAGACTGAAAAGTGTAGGCACGTCACGGCTGGGGTCAAAAAGCATCCAGGCCCATGCAGAAAGGCTGTGTGCGACAAATGACGCCGGCCATAGAGGCAGCATACGGGTCCAGAAGTCTTCAGGTTGTCGCCGTGCCTGTTTGGCAAGATGGTCGGCAAACTCATTCTCAAGCACCCCGGCATGACCTTTGACGTGCTGATGTGTCAAGGGCACCACACGACTGGCAATCTGTCGCAGATGGACAAGATGGTGGGCAAGATCAGAGGCCTTGCCCGTACCTGGTTCAGCAGGCAATTGCCAATCACCGAAGGTACCGCGGCCGGCAACCAGAGAATCATAGTGCACGGTAACTGAACATCGATATCCTGGGGCCCATTCGACAATCCAGCACAAAGCCCAAAAAAGGGCTAGCTGTTCGGCGACTTGTGGAGTGTCGCTGGTCTCACCTACATGGTACGGAGTGCCCATAGGGGTGGCTGTGCCACTGGCATGTCCGATGAGCACCTTGCCAATGGGGGTGATGGCCCATACACCGAAAGCCCATGCGCAGGGCAGCAAATCATTGATGTCCTGTGCGGCAGAACCGTCAGTGTAGACGTGGATATGGGCAGGAGTGGGTCGTCCAACCGAATCTCAGGTTGGCAGGTTGACTAGGGCAGTGCGGAGCTCAAGCGAGACCTTGCGGTCCTGAAGCAATGGCTCAATATCATTGTCCAACCAATCCTGACCTTGTGTCTGAAGACGAAAAGCCAGCAGACTGTCAAGCTCAAGCACAGCATGTTGAAACTCCGTGGTGGGCAGAGTGGCAGCAAGACACAACTCTGTTGGACCCTCGCCGACAACATGTTTGTCGCAGTCGGAAGCATGGTCTTCCAAGGTCCATGTAGCACAAGGTGCACTGTCTGCGAGTTGGGTCTCGTTGTTTGAGGCAGTGTAATGCTCCGTGAGTACTTCGAGAAGAGTAGCCGCGTGCATCAACGCCGGGCAGGCTGGATCCTTGATGGCTTGCTCGAGTAGCGTGGGTCCTGGAATATTCCGATGTCGGAGAACCCGTAGGGCGGGATCGCTGCGTGGCCCTGTGCGGCACGGTGTTGGCACTGGTCGGGCCGCTGTGACACAAGGGCTCACAATGTTGCCGCGTTGGCAAGTGTCGGGCGGCAGGCCGAAGGTGCTGGGCAGGGCAGCTGAAGCACAAACAAATTGCATGCTAAAGCAGCCAAGGACGATTAAGAAGGCAATGTGGGGTCTGCTGGCGGCTCGAGCACATAGGCCGAGAGGGTGGCAGACACAGCACAGTAGAAGTACACGGGCGGCGTCAGCCGCAAGGAGGCATAGGAGGACAGGGGTGGCAGCATGCTGGCCTTCAACAAAGGCGTCCTGCAGAGAAGCACAATACCACATGACTACTCGACTATGCCAGAAGCCCCGGCGGGGATCCCAGTTGGCGCAGGCAGAAACAATGCGCCGTATAGTGTGCAGTTATCACGACTAAGGGTGCGGTAAGTGCCACCCGTACCCGCGTCATGTGAGGACCCGACATTTGGTGCGGCATCCGCACTCGCCTGTGAAGGGCTGTTGTGTGGATAAGGTGATGGGCACGGGCCGGCCCCTCCTGCACGGGAGTCGGGAGGGGAGCCGGGCGGAGGTGTCGGTGGTGGTGCCTCCAAAGCCTGTGTGTGAGTAAGGTACTCAATGGTGATAATGTCACCATCCTGCACACGCACAGCGAGCTGTATTGGTCGCGGCTGCGACCCGTTATGAGTATACCCCAGGACATGACCTACTGGACATCTGGCCTGGTACCTCGCATATAGAGGGCCTGGCTGCAGGAGTCCTTCGGGCACAGCAATCCAGGTGTAGTCCAGCAGAATCGGCCGCCTATCTACCACAATGATCGGTGCTCTAGGGGTATGGTATGTGTCGCCACGAGCAGCAAGAGTTGCAACAAGCAAACCCCTGAGAAGGGTTCCCACTCGCATGTGGTCAAAAGCCGGCATTCTAGCAGGGACAATGATCAATCGTGCCGGCATACATTGGAAGATCTGCGACAAATCCTGACGAAGGAGGTGGTTGCGGCCACGCTGCATGACGTGGGCAAAACTTCGATCGTCACTCATGATCCACACATTGTTCCTGTGGACACCAGGGAATGTGGGCGGCGGTCGCCAAACCTCAGGATCCCTAATCATGTCGCTGAAGTCTGCAGTGACAAAGAAATCATGTTCCCGTGGTAACAGCAGGAACAGATCAGCCAAATGCACTTGAACCTGGGTGGTGGCATCCAAGGGCTGAGGTGTGGAGTTGTGATACACCAAAATGTTGGGATCTGGGTTGACTCCCGCAAGACGTAGAACGTCGGCACGTGTGACAAAAGGTGGCACATCGAGCGCAAACAGTCTGTTGTCAATGCGGCTATCAAAGCACACTATGACCCCTGTGGGATCCCAAGAAGGACTCACTATCAAGGTACCCCAATGTGGGAAGGTTTGAGCGGACACCGAAAGCAGTCTGGGAAAACGTCGGCGCGGTTCAGGCAAACGCGCAGCCGAGACCCGGGCCAGCATGGCGTGTGGCATCTGTGGAATGCTGACCCGGAGGTTGACAACTTCAGGCACGTACCCCGGAGCAAGAAGTAGAAAGGTTGCCTCAACGAACTGACCATCAGCACCGTTGGCTTCATCTGTTTCACTCGCGCTAGCGTCTTGCTCGGGTGAGTCGGCTGACTGCGTTGGCTGCAAAGCGTCTTCCGAAGCATGTGCTGGTCGATTTGGCTCATTAGAGGCTGCATTGACCGGAAGATACACGTCATCTGGAGGCGGGTGTATAGGGAGAAGGTGGGGCACAGAGATCGCTCGGGGTGCCACCTCGACTTGTAGCACTTGCCCTGGCAAAACTGGATACAACACCTCACCTGTGGGTATGTCGGGAAAGATTACCTCATAGAGTGGGGGTGCAGTTGTCTGAACTGCATCCTTAACTCTGTCGACATACAGTTGACCATCGGTGACAGTTATTGCTTGCCATCCTTGAAGGAGGGCTCTGCAGTCTACTATCACTAGGAATGCTCGGTCAGAAGATGTCATGGCGGCAGCATCGGTAACGGCCAGCACAGTGCGACAGTGAACTCCTTCTAAGGCCACATTCGTGACCCGAGGGCTAGAGGGGAACACTGAAATGTCTGCGTGGCGAAGGCCGAGTGCAGCTGCCAACTGCCTACGATACTGAGTTGGTCGAGTTTGATCATACTCTAGCAGGACATGCTGATCACCACAAACAGCACAGTAGGCGATTCGATCATCAGGAGGAAAATCGAAGTCCTGGGCCCACATACTAGGACGCCGCATCATGACGTCAATACGGACTTGGAGGTCGGGTCGATGTCCTGTGGGGGAGATGGTAAGTGTCATTCCCTGTCTGACATGTTGAGGGTGCTGCCCCAGCTCAGGGTCATCGCCCAAGTAGATGTGAACGAGCTGCCGGTCGGTGAGGCCTGAAATTCTGAGAGCATCTGCTTGGGTCAGATACGTGGGACAGACGGCGGCGAAGATCCTGCCATCCCATCTGGAAGCATCGACAAGGAGGATGCATTTATCGGGGTCCCAGTGCGGTGCTGCAATCCAAACCCCTGCACCGGGGACTGTTTGAGGCAATGCCGGAACAAGGCTCGGGAACTTCCGGGCTTGGGATGGTTCCCGTTCTGACTGGATCATAGCAAGACCTTCTGCCAGAGTGGCCGGGAAGTGGAACGCAACAGTGAGGAATTCCGGATCGGTCCCAGGTGTATAGATCAGTGCTGTAGCCCATGCAATTGACTCAGCATCAGAGATCTCTGATACGGGGGTGGATGGTTCTTCCGGATTGAGGCCATGGGGCTGGTAAGCCGGGTCATAGGGCCATAGCACGCCGAGAGCTGCTGTGGCCTGACGCAAGTTGTTGAGTCTGGAGCGCTCGGCTGGCGTGGAACAACGTGGCTCCTGATGGGTCTTACACTGTCGCAGACGACAGGCCACAGCAAAGCGCAGAAGCAGCAGGACGCCCACACAGACCCAAACGTAGGAAAGGCGTCCACCTTGTCTGGGAAAGGGGTGATTCCTAGGACAGGGATTTGTTGGGGCACAACCGGAATTAGTAAGGCAGCACCGGTGCATGTCGAGATCCAGGTAAGCTGGCTGCGCACGGGTGGGACTACCAAAACTAAGAATCCCTGAGGCAAAAACCATTAGGGCTACAGCTGACCAAAGGCGGGCCTGCACTGGATTAGCAACTGTGGCTGATCGACGCCTCGGCGGTGTGCGGCTGCGCGAGGGGTCTGTAGCTCCGCCAACCCCGTCGTCGAAAAGGTGTTCCCCATCGGAGTCTGCTGGCGCTGTGGTTGTGTCCTGTCCGATAGTGCCTTCTGAGTCATCGCTGAGATCAGAATCATCGGTCGGGGGGCCCGACTCTTCATCCTCTTCAAGCTGCGAGGGTGACGTGATAGGGACAAATTGTGCAATGAGCACCTGTCCCGGGACAAGTAATAAATCGTCATCATCAATTTCAGCTCCATCGATTTGCACGTGGTGGTGAGCTGGCATGAAGTGACCAAGATCTTGAACGAGATCAGAGTGCGGGTATCGCCCTTGTCGAAACTGCAGAAGGTGCCAACCCTGAAGAAGGGGTCGGCAGTCAACAAAGGCTACATCTTGTTGGGTGTGAGTCGCTGCGACAATGCTGCGACATGTGACTCCCTCTAGAACGACATCTTGGTGGCAGGGCACAGCAAATTGAAGCTGCAGATCGGCAGCAACGATGCCTAGAGCTTCTGCGAGTTCGGCTCTGAAAGGCGCTTCTGCCTGTGCGAAGTCGTGCAGGCGGTGACACGCATGCGTAACGAGGCAGAATTTGCGGGTAGTGGGCCCGCCAACCGGTGGGGGCATGACGCAGTTAAACCAAGAGTAGGATGTGCAAAGCATGGCCCGAAAGGAGTGGCCAACCGCCGGGTCCGAATGTTTCGGAACGAAGAAAATGACCCTGTAAGGCGCAACCTGCAGTAGGTCGTGCTCCTCCAGAGGATGCGCACTGCCGTAGGCATAGACATCGACCTCATCAGCAGAGACCTTAGCCGTTCGACATAGGTATTCTAAAGTGATCTCGAAGGCGGTGGCTGCAGCATACAATCGTCCATCGACGCGGAGCAGATTGTATATCAGAATGGGCTCCTCATGCGCCCAGGCAGGTAGAGCGATAGCGATACCCCATTGAGGGGATATCTGTGGAAGCACCTCTCGAACCTGGGACCAGTGCAGGTACACATCGTGTGGCATGGCAAGTGCTACAGCATCAAGGGCCTCTTGCGCCGATGCGGGCGCTTCGAACTCACAGTGCACTGTGAGATCAGCACATTCCAATCGCAACACCAAGAAGGTAGCTCGGACAGTGGTAGTGGAGTGTGTGCAGGCGTCACTGTCCGCATCTTCTTCCGGTGCTGTGTCCGCATCAGGCCTTACGCAAGGTGGTATAGGTGGAAGGGTAGCAAGCGACAGCGGAGGCTCAACAGGCGCAGTGCCGACAAAGTGCGAGATCGGACATACCTCGAAGACAACCCCTTCAGTGAACAGAGCAAGGTTGCCGGTCTGGTGTCCGTTTGTAATGCCGAGCGGACCTGCGTAGGCAGCCTCAACTTGCAACACACGTAAATATTGACTGACATCTTGCATCCCTGCACCTTCAAAAAAGGGGCGAATGTGATGACCAAATGCTCTGCAGTCAAAGAACGCATACACCCCGAGGTTAGGTCCAGGTAGCAGGTTTTCAGACCGAACAGACGCGGCAACAATGCCGTGTACACGGTAGCCATGATGCAAGTAATCAGAAACGAGGCACTCAGGCGCAGGTTCGCTGATGCACATGTATTCCGGCTTCCGATCATATTCGGCAGCAATGCGGTGGTGCAAGACGGCAGTGCTAGGCTGGCCCGGAACAACAATGTGATTATGGTCTCCAATGGCAAGCCAGAAATGTGGAGGTCTCTCCTGTTCCATGACAACCGGCTGTGTTTCCCATCTCTGTGGTGCCTGCAGCAATTGTTGCAGACCACGCAGGGCTCGCAATTGGGTACCTTGGGGGGCAATACGCACAACCTCACCTGAAGCTACAGCATGCCCGTGATCAGTGAGAGTGGTGGTGTCGGGCAAGACGGCCTCCCACGGTTCATCAGTATGTTGCCGAACTTCCTTGGCCAAGTCGTATGGGCAAAGATAGGAATTGCTGAGAACGGCATATGTGGGTCCACAGAAACATGTGAAATCCAAAATGACAACACGTTTGTCCGTATGCTCAACCCATTTAGGAACCAGAACTGCCTTGGCATAGGTAGCGTCGTCTGAGAGGGATACTGGCGCAAAGCAACCCTGCTGTGCCACTAAGGCATGTTCAACTGTCCTGTCGAGTCGATCTAAGACCTCTGCTTGAATCGCAGGCAGTGGCAACGCAAGTGTGATCTGCTGAGAGGCCCTGGCGAGCCGATACACATGGAATGTCAAGGATTGGGCACCTTTGGCAACTGGTTGCGTGTCCAGTGTTCGTCGGGCTCCTGTCTGCAGACCAGGGGATGAGCCTAAAACCTCAGGGGGGTCAAAATCAGACAGCAATCGTATTCCCTCGGAAAGCCCCTGCGGGGCGGCCCAGACGCATTGGGGCGTATGCAATAATGCAAGCAAGAACATCCAAAGATTGAGTCTGTTCGGGACCCCGGGTTTCTTCGCAAAGCTTCTGGCCGTACGAGGTCGCCTATTTGGTTGCACTTGGACGCATTGCATTGAAGCGTACATGGGGCTGACAGCGGTGCCGACAGGCAGCAAAACTGATAAAGACACGCCAGCTGTCGGCAGCACCACAAGTCTGCAGAGGGGCGAAGGAGGCTTAGGGAGTTTCCAAAAGAGCAGCCTCCATAACGCCAGAAATCCAATTGCACACAGCGCTCGGAAGAGCGGGACAAGTGTCTCAGCGAGACATACCAAAACTGTCCAGCAGAGAGTCTCGCACTGGAGACTGTCAGTGTCTGTGCCCGTGGCTAGAAGTGCCCAAGGCTCATCTGGTCGCCCTTCAAAAATGGCGCCCTGGCTGTGGAACCAGAATATAAACCCCTTAGTGGTAGTCAGCCCAGAGCCACCGATCTGACTTTTCGGCACGCACATGTGTCGGGGTATCTTTGAGAAAAAGGCACTGACTGGATGAGAAAACCCCAGTCCTGGTGTTCGCCGCACTGAAAGTGCACACATACTACCATGTGGGCGGATGGTTGCAAAAGGCGAGGGAGAGCAGCGAATGTCACAAGCCCAATGACATCGCTGCCCCCGCGAGGAAGAAGTAGACACAACTGCAGAGAGTCTCAGCCGAACCAAAGCTGAGTCAAAACAGTTGGCCTGGAGGTGCGGTGCAGAGGAGAAGACCAGTGGACTTGAAGAGCCCTCGAGCGCATCAAACCTAAGTACTGTACAGAAACCGTAGTCTTTCACTGTGGGTGAAGAACGAGGCATGCCCCAAGTAGATCCCACAAGTTCTCCAAGCCCTGTTGGCATGCATCTGCACATCCGAACCCCATTGGTTGTGCAAGACGTGCCGTAGGGATAGGAGGACCAGGGGATCTGCTCAGTGAGCTCCTCTCGAAAACGGTCTATCCCATGCCGTCCAATCCTGGCGGGGTCGTGGGTGCAGAAACCTTGCGCTCGAGGTCGGCAGCTTGACGGGCCTGGTCGAGCTCTTCGTCGTCTGTGACCGTCTCCATGGTTGGTCGATCTGATCCTTTGTCTGTAGCAGTCGAGGGCGGTGCACCAAAAGGATACATAGCCCTGCGTTGCTGCAGCTTCGTGTCTAGGCTGGCCTGTCGGGGGTCGCTGGCATCCGCTCTCCGATTCTCGTATGGTCCCACTCGCGGTGATGTCGAATTGAGGCGTGTCAGGCGTCCAGTAGTCGGAGAGGCCTGAAATGGTCCTGGATCCGTCTGCATAGTGGCATGCGTCCCATAGGGTTCTTGTGGCCTGGCCGTTGGATCGTGGCCCGTACATGGCGGCGCAGGAACAGGGGCCGCTGCAGTTCCTTTTGGTGGTTCTGCATGACCGGGACCCGGTCCAGGCATGACCGTCCTGGCCATGGCCGTGTCCATGCCCGGTGGTGCCATGTAGCTGCCGGTAGGTGGGGGCAGATGTGCCATAGCTTGAATGTTTTCAAGAAGCTTCTGTTGAGGGTATGTATAAAAATGGTCATTTGTTTTGGACAATTGTTTGGCAATTGTTTTGCAATTGTTTTGCAATTGTCAATTGTTTTGACAATTGTTTTGCAATTGTTTTGCAATTGTTTGAAATTTGTGTGTTTTTTTGAACAATTGTTTTTCAATTGTTTTGGAATCTGGTGTTTTTATTGAACAATTGTTTTTCAATGGTTTCTTAAATGCTATGTTTTTGAAACAACTCTGTTGCACTTGTCTTTTACTCTGCTACAGCTGCAGTTTGATCCACTTGTTTTGGGAAGAGGGCATTGCGCTGTCTGAGTCAAAACCCGGGGAGGGGGGGGGGGGGCAAGGCGCACCAACTGTAGCACGCCTCAGTCAAGAGCCCACAGTCAAGTTTTAGCAAACCAGGATGGCGCCAGTCCAGGCATGAGTGCTGCATTATATGTGTTTCCAAGACTCCGCTATATACTGCTGATTGCATCAGGCTCAACCGTGAGTAGATGAATAGGTCCAAAGCGACATGTTCGATTTTAATCTTGAAGATCTCGCAAGCATTGCCGTGGAACACGCGCCACATGTAGTTCCACGCCCTGCACGCTTGCCAGCGCGGCAACAGCGAGTTGCCCAGCAGAGACAAAGAGCAGCAGGCCCACAGCAAGCTGTTCGGGGAGGAGGAGCAGGCCTTCGGCCAGGTCGAGACGGTAGAGGCAGGGGCGGCAGAGGACGAGGAGTCGGGCTCGGTAGAGGCAGAGGCAGAGGCGGCAGAGGACGAGGAGACGGGCTCGGTAGAGGCAGAGGCAGAGGCGGCAGAGGACGAGGAGTCGGGCTGGCAAGAAGACGGATTGGCTTAAAGAGGTCCAAAAGCATGAAGGAAACACATAAGGCCCACAGACGACGGCAAAGCCGATTGCAAGCAACTCATGCTAATTTGTCTGGAAGGAGCAGGACGACAGATCACCTGATGCCGATGGAATCATCAGAAAAAAGGGCCAAGGTGTCTGGGAAAGGCGCATGGAAAGTGTGGACACCGGAAGCGTTACTCCGAGCAGCATTTTCTCAAGCATCATCGGCGTTGCGCCAGGTCGCCAGCGAGATAGATGGAGCCAGTGCGGCTCATGTGTTGAGCGCTCGTACTTTTGTGTCTAGTGTGCTTTTGAAGAAGCAAGAAGAAGGCCTTGCACAAGAGCTAGGCAAAGCAAGACATTGTGCAGTATCAGAGTCGCACAACCCACCTAAGCTTTGGATCTTGAACCTGATGTTCGACGAAACCGAGCTGGATCTGAGTTTGAATGGTGATGGGCCGGGCTCCTGGTCAATTCTAGCTTCTCATTCTCAATTGAGCTTCGGTTCAGCAGGAAGTATGACAGAACAGGATTTCATTCGAGTGCCTCAGGCCCTGCCCCGCAAAACAACTGCATGCATGTGGGCAGCATTGAACCTCGGAGCAGGGGGCCTTGGGCCAGGTAGCTTTTGCACCTTGGCTGACTTTCCATGTCTGCTGGTGACGTGCGACCAGGCCTCAGCAAATATCAAGTTGCTCAAACATTTGCATGCAGTTCTGCCTGAGCAGTGTTTTTTTATCCCTATGCTTTGTGCTCAACATAGGAACGGGAACGTGGTTGAGCGAATTACAAAGCTTTTGGGCATTCTGCCAGGTTCCTACTGTGTAGCAAAGTGCACCAGTAAAGGCAAAGTGTTCAAGGATCTGAGGGAAGCTGTCAAGCAACAGATTGACAAGGATTTGGTCGTCATGTCAGAAGAGCCTCCAGGTTTGCAGGCCGAATGGTCCAGCGCACGCAAGCAAGCAACCACCTTCTTAGAACTTATGCTGCAAGGATTGGGCGATGCCAAACCTGAAGAACGTTCCGGAGTTTCGCAGCGGATCAAGAAGTTCGTGGACTTCTTCCGCGGCCCCTGGACAGGACCGAGTGCTGGGGTTCGGTTGGGTTCTTGATTTGGGAATCAGTGGTAAATCTAGATAAATCTGGTTGTGATTGCGCACGATGCCATAAGCGACTGATTAAACTTCTGCTTTATGGCTGCCGTAGCATGTCCTACAGTTGCAAAGTCTACTTGGAGTGTCGTTGCATGTTTTGACAGTTTTGACCTCTGATGCATGTGCACTCTGCATGTGGTTCAAGATCGCGACGTTCAGCTGACACAGTGAGTGAGTGACGTGTGTCTTTTTTTCTGAGCATCCCCGATTGCAATGTCGGGGCCGTCGGGGCTTTTCGAAATGACCGATACCCAGCTCCTGGCTTTCTTGCGGACAGAAGGGTTGGCAGCTTGTTTCGAAAGCATGGACGCTCGTGCGTCCGCGCTACAGGGCCTTTGGCCGGGTCCGGAGATGACTTCACAAGAGCTCAGGCAGCATGTGGTCGTCATCACGGACCACCTCGCATGTGACACCTACGGTGGAGTCGAGGCGATCAAGTGGGCACGGAACAGCTACAACGACAGGATCGATGTGCCCAAATACTCAAACTAGCCGTTATGGCTTATAGCCTAGAGTCCTAGAGCAGTAGGCGCCCCCCAAAGCCTGTAGCCTATAGCTCTCATACTTTATGACTTACCATACCATACTACAGTCTATAGTCCTATACTAAGGCATAGGAAGCAGGAGGCAGTTCTAAGTTAGTTGCTTTAAGGCGTAGCCGGGGGTTTCGTTTTGGACTCTTGGCTCTTTGAACTTTTAACGTTTCTGTTTGGGCCCTGTGTAGGCATCCTGCCCATGTCATCTTGGACCTGACGAATGAGTTCGGTTCCAAGTTGTGGCTCGGCGGATCGAAGGCAGGCACCGACACTAACCTGATGATCAGGAATGGAATCGGAGCGGTGTGGCCTGCGGCCAAGTCGGTCCAGCCGGATGACACAGCGGCGATCCGTGTATTGAGGTACACAGATGGGACTGGCGTCGTGCACGGCAACGTGAACATGGAGAGCGTGCTGCAGCAGATCGACAATGTGATCTCCTTGCTGCACCGCGGCGTGTCGGTCCTCATCTGCTGTGTCAACGGAGCCCATCGCTCCGCGACACTTGGTGCCATGACGCTCATGCGCCTTTTAGGCTGGTCGGCGACAGAAGTTGCGAACCTCGGCATTTCAGTATAGTCACTGTGTGCTTTCCAGTGAGTCAGACGTCGATGTGTTTGCCAGAAAGGCTGTAAGAGACAAGAATCAAGTTCAGGATAAGGTTACCTTAATCTTATATTAGGCCGCATTTGAGAATCTACAGGAACTATGTCTCCACATTGCGCAACATCGTCGACCTGAACAGCAGAGCGCCGCCATCGCAGTACAGAGTGAACACTATTCGCCCCATCGACTTTTTGATCGAGCACCAAGCAGAGATCGCTGGTAAATCGGGGGCCTCAGGCCTGGTCCAGGTCGGCAGCAACCAGGAGATATTTCCTTCCACGAGATATGCGAACGCCCTCATCACCCCTGTTCAGTTTCGTCGGCGCTGCATAGAAATGGGGTTCGTCCTTTCAGGCAAGGGCAAGCGGACTCGCCAGTCGTTGCCAGGGCCACAGTCATTGATATCGTCGATGCCGCCGCCGCCCCCGCCCGGTCGCTCAAGCTCGACCCACCTTCGGTCCAAAGCTCGACCAGTCAAGCCGAGATCGAAGGGCGTTTCGCCAGGTCAGGTGCGGCAGAGTGGCACAGACACGGACTCCTCGTACATCAACGTTCCGACGGATGGTTTCTTAGAGCTGAAATTTTTATATTATATATTTTTTATGATGAAGATAATTATAATGTAAGCAAGACAGAACGGCTACAGGTTTCGGCAAATAGTGCATTTGGTCTTGGTCCGTCACTAGATTGCCCAGTCTAGACTCTAGGACTCTAGGTAGTACACAACTCAGGTTTCATTACCGACGACTCAGAGATGCCGCACCCCAAGCGCATCAGCGAGGATTCGTCGGCCTCTGGCCAGGTCAGTGCCGCCAGTGCAGATGATGAGGCAGTGGACCCACCAGTTATGGTTGAAATTGAGGTTGCAGACGACGAAGAGAACGAGGAGTCCACCATGGAGAAGGCCTGCGAAAAGGGTGCAGCCGAAGCAGAGGAGCCGGAGTCAGACTTTGAGATGGTGACCTGCGATGACGAAGGCAAAGTAGCCGATGTCAATCCAGAGTCGCCTCCGCAGACGCCCCGTGCAAACTGGACTTCGGAAGACTTTGCACGCCTGGAGACAGTGATGCGCGATCTGGGGCACCTGAACCGCCAGCTGCTCTCTTTCAACAATGCTGAGGTCGAGGAGGATCAGGCCCAGGCTGATGATCAGGCCTCGGCCTCCGGCCCGGTAAGTGACCAGATCGCAGAGCCAGGGCAGCAAGCGGCGGAAGCGGATGAGCCAGGCGGTTTCTCGTCTTCTGCTTTGTTGCTTAACCACTTATGATAGGGAAGGGTCTTGATGAAGGTCCGGGTTGAGAAAACGGTCTGGGGTTTTAGGGTACAGCTAGTTACTTTAGCCCTTCCAGCCCATTGTCGCCCAAGCTTCAAGACTTCAAGCCGATCCAAGGCACCAGCGCAGACCCCGTGGAATCGGACGAGGGGGCCCGGGACGAGGCCTTGGGCCAGGTTGATGATGAGCCTGCGACTCCTGCGACGGCCGAGTCCGGAGAGCCGCTGGAGCCCTCCAGTTTGGACCTCGAGAAGACGATGGAAGCGCTCAAGGCGCAGGCGGCGGAAGGCGATAAGGACGAGATGCTTGGGAGGCTTTTTGGGCTACTTGAGACCCAGAAAGTCCAACAGCAGGCTCTATTGTCGAGACTGCAATCTCGCCAAGAAATGGACGAGAGAAAGAACGTCATCCTCACAGCGCTGTACAATCGCGACATGACGCGCCTCAGGGCGGAGCTCCAAGCGCTGACGGTCTCTGACCTCGTCTCAATCAGAGACGAAGAGGGGATGACAGTCGCCCATCATGCCGTGCGTTTGGGCCTTGGGCCTTGTCTGGAGTATACTCTCCGGAAAGCCCCGACTCTTGCGGATGCCGTGACGAACCCCTCAGGTCGCCCAGCGAACTGGACGCCGTTGATGGTGTTGGTTGATGCACCACCAGGATCTTTGGGAGGCACGGACTACGCCTACGACATGTTGAAGGTCCTGGTTTCCTACATGAGCGTCACAGGTCTCGTGAATCTCGGTCCTTTCAAGTAGTGTTCGTGTTTGTAAATATGTACTTCGGTGTGTGCTTAGTAAGATTAGTAAAAGATTATTCTTGAAGATTTTCGTGCCAACGTGACACAGTGATGTATTGGCCTTGGGCCGGGTCTTGCCTGGTGATTTTGGGCAGTTTTCTCTTGTTCTAGTGTTGCTAAGGACCAGGTCTCCAACAGGGGCGACAGCGTTTCACATTGCAGCCTCTCGTGGGAACCACCGTGGGCTGCAGAAGCTTTTGTGGTCCCTCTACCACAAGAGTGGTGGTGACAGGAACTCAACCTACGCATTTGGCCTGGTGACCTCACTCGTCAACAGCCCCGGCTTGAAGCGCGGGCAGGGGGTCGTCGACGCCGCACTCGCGAACAATATCGACTTGGCGATGTATGTGAAGCGGAATTGGGGCGGGGTCGAGCTTTTGTCTCCCCCAAGCCGCGGCGGCTATGCTGCGTAGAAAGTCAGAGTGTTGGCCTCAGGCCAGGTCAGAGCTGTCGCAACCAGGAGGAACCCCCACTAAGTATAGTTTCAGCCCAAGCATGGCATGTCGATCGTTGTCTAGAATTGCACAGATGTTTTGTTGGGTTACTTTCGTTTCATGTTGCTGGGCGACAGTCTCTGACCTGAGCAGTACAGTCCCAATCTTCCACAGTGTTCCAGAGGGCAGGCTGGACTGGTACAGTGACAGCATCAGACATCAACGGCCTGGCCTTGGGCCAAGCCTAGCTTAGTTTGCTTTCGGTACAACGAAAGGTCAAAGTTGGTTTCATTGATCGGCCTTTGGCCAAGTCCAGTCTGCTATCGCTGTCGCTCAAGTCGATTTCACAAACGACGACTGCATTCCTTTCGTGTGTGATTTCGCTTGCTGTTGCTGCCACGTGAAAAAGATCACGTCGTTTCTGCCGCAATAACTACGCGAGGCTTGTGCATGGGCTGCATGGGTTCCAGGCAGATTAGTTAATGTCAAGTCAAGGCAATGCAACTTGTGATTCAGGCTACCGACATCTGAGGGCTTGACCGTTGCAGTGCAGTTTCCATACCCCAGGCAACATCCCCCTAGATGTTGATGCTCTCAGTCCGAACTGTCGTCAAGTTAGTGTTACAACACATCCTACTCTACCCGCTTTGTTTTGTGAGTTTGTTACATGTGACTATGACTATGACTCTACGACTATGTATGCGACGCTTTATGAATGCTAGCTGCTAGCTCCCTGCATGGAACCCAGGTTGCAGTCTAGTTTGCTGCTGTTATTGGCTGTTATGCAGTTATGCACTCGACAAGCTTGCATCGCAGCGTGATAAGTTTTCAATAGTTCAGCCAAGACATGTTTTGAAGCGATTTTGAACCGATTTTGAAGCGATTTTGAACCGATTTTGAAGCGATTGCCTGCAGGACGGCCAGTTCACGTATGTGGAGGAGCTGATTGCTGCAAGGACCGAGCCGACTCTGTTTGCAAAGCCTTCGGCTTGGTGGAAGAGGTTTTGCTCAAACCCGTTTTGGTGCCAGCTTTGAACAAATGGACGAAGGTTGCACCTTGCATGCGGCACATTTCTGTGATGCAGAATTTTTGCAACCTTGTTCCCCAAGCCTTCGAGGCCGCCTTCGGCACATCGAAAATGGTGCCTGAAGCGCCAGACGACGAAGAAGAAGGTGCAGATGTTGGAGCCCCGCTTAACGAATCAAAGCTGTGGGCCCGATTGGCCAGGTTACGGTTGGTGAAGGCTGGGGTTTTTTTACAGGACAAGTCTTTCCATTGGTCGACAGTCCTGTGGACCGTGTTGACTGCGCCAGTCATGAACATTCATTATGCATTGTTTAAGCACGCCACATGGTTGTCAGATCGTGATCTAGAAGCACCGGAAATGCAGGAGGAGGGGGATTTGGAGTTGGATAGGTCTTTGACCGCGTCTTGCTTTTGCAAGGCAGCTGAAAATCCCGCCAAGAAGGCGATGGCGTGCCTTTCAAAGATGCTTGATGACGTCGCCAGCGACGAGTGGGGTCCCGCCGTCCTGTGCTTTGGCCCGATTCTGTCGTGGCCTCAGGCCAGGTTGCGAGTGCTTCGGCGAGGATTTTTCACTGTGGTGGGTCAACTCTGGAGGAAGCTGCTTTATCCTTGGACGCAATACCCATGGAAGCTAGCATGTCTGATCGACAGCGAAACGACCAATGCAGAGAAGCAGCGTTGTGCTCAGGATTTGTTTGATCAGCCTGTGTGTTGTTTGGATGGATTTGCTAGGAAGCTGCGCGAGGTGCGAAAGTCTTCAAACAGTTTGATGGAGGATGATGTGTTGGAGTTCTTGCAAGCAGTGTTTGAACGGATCGTTCCCACTTCCACGTATATTGAAAGAATGTTTGCAAGACTGACAGAATGGAGTGGACCAACGAATCAGAGAGGGCCGAAGAGAAGATTGTCAGCAGTCGTATCCAAGCACTGCGCGCGCACGTTCGAGCACCATGTCAAGAGGTGGCGGAAGATGACTTTGAGGCAAAAGCGCAAACGTCTCCACAACCGAAGGCCTGCATGGGCGCAAGGTAGGCTGAAGGGCAAGGCGCGAAATGGTTGGCATGCTTTTGCGCAGGACTTGTTTCGTCGGCATCCTGGGCTTTTGCAAGCGTCTCGAGGTGACCGCAATGCAAGAGTGGCCGCTGAATGGGCCCAAGCCGACAAAAAGCGCTGGGCCGCTGTCGCACGCTCTCAGAACCTCCAGGCCAGTAGTGCAGTGGATCAGGAAGCGAGTGCAGAGGATGCCCAGGCCGCCGCCGATTTTGTTGGAGGTCCTTGGAATATTGGTGCCGCAGACGGGTTCCCTCTAGCGCGGCACAGTATCGCTGCTGATTGCAACAAGGTCAAAGCAATCGCAAATGCTTTTCATGCACAGCACAATGTCCTGCAGCCGGAAGAGGCCAACAGCTTGTTGGGAGCTCCGCCTGAACCGTGGCCTCTGTTCCCCACATGCACAATCAACGGCTGTGAGCATTCACTGCCAGAAAAGAAGCAAGAATGCATGCAGCATCTGCGTGCGCTGTTCTGGCGCGCCGTGCTGCAAAAAGCCCCCACAGCCAAATCCACAGGGAAAGAGCCGTTGCTTCTCTCCTTTCATTCCGCCACACTAGATGCAACTCTAAGCCTGGCTGTTGCTTTTCACACTCTCCGCGCCCCGCACCAGGCGGCAGTGCTTCTTCTCCACCCTGTAGAAATGGCTGATCTTGCAGGAGAGGGTGTTGTTGTGAGCCTGCATTGTTTTTCGCAGAGTGGTCGAAGAGAGCTTCAGCTTGAAAGCGAGAGTGTGGCTTTGGCAAGGCTTGCCCGGCAAGCGTCCGACTGGAAATTGAACGTGCTAGACGTGGGGCCTGTGCGTCACATCAACAGGTTCGACATTACAGCATCCCATCCTTTCGATGACAAAGATGGCGGCGATGCGGGTTTGCCAGTGCAGGTTGATGCTGACACTGAGGCTGCGCTTGTTGCATTCGATGCATTGCACCCATCTGCTCAAAAGAAGGGCCCCAAGAGGCAGTTCCAGGCCTCAGGCCAGGTTGGGCACGCAAAGCCTTCAGGCCTCAAGACCGAGCCAGAAGCGAAGAAAAAGCTTACCAAAGAGCAGAAAGCGAAGCGTGCACAGATTCGGGCCGAAAAAGCGCTGCAAGGTATAATTCCTATGCCCTCGGATTCAGAATCCGACGCTGCCGGTGATGGCAATGGCAATAATGTCCAAAATGCAGATGAAAAAAATGAAGAAAACATTAATGCAGAATCCGAGCTTGAAGACTTGGAGGCTCCCAAATTTTTGGTTCCAGAGGAGGAACTCACGCAGTACGAGCAACCAGCTTCAAGTAGCTCAGTCGTGCCCAAACAGCGGCAACTTCAGACACGTTCGATGATGAAGCGGGGGCAGCCATGGGGAATCTTTTCCCTTTCTCCAATCTACCGTGATGGGGTTCATGTTGCTTGGGAGGCACTGTGTCGCTGCCACAACAACCTCGGGGATAAGCTGGGCTCGTCCTGCAAAAAATCCGTCTCCATAGCGAACATGACAGACGCAGAAGCAAAACTGCGACTGAAACGTTGGCTGGTTGCAGGCTTGGACGACTCGGAGTGGCGCGACAATGAAAAGCGCAGCTGCCACCTGTCTCTGGGCGGGCCCTTGCTTGCACATTTTGCCGAAGGTTTGTCTGAAGCTGAGCTTGATGTCAAGGCTGGGGTGCGCCAGTGATTTTTTATGGTGTTGCTGGATGCCGTTACAAGAGCTTGACCTTATAATTCAGGGTTTGCAGGGTTTAGGGTTTAGGGCCTCGAGCCGGGTCTCTGAGAACCTAGCTAGAAATCCAGCAGACTTGGTTGAGCGTGGAAAAGCCAAAGCTGCAACAGCTGCTTCATGGGCTTGCGCCAAAAAATCAAAAAACGGCTTCAAGGACCAACTTTTGTGATTTGTGGCTTCAAGCCAGGTCTAATCTTCGCGAACACGCGTTCTGCCGCTATTCGAGCGGTCTGTGATCCTTCCGATTGGAAACCCAAACACGTCTTCCAAGACGAGCTTTTGTGGCCTAAGGCCAGGTCTCAGCGCGAAAGCCTAGAAATCCAGGAGTCTTGGCAGAGCGTGGAAAAGAAAAAAAAACCTTCAAGGACCAGCTTTTGAGATTTGTGGCCTCGGCCAGGTCTATATTCTATATTGACCAACGCGCGATATGTCTATGTCGCTGGTCCAGCGTTCAAAGATGAGCGTCTGTGGCCTAAGGCCAGGTCTCATTGCAAAAGCGCAAACCCGGAAATCCCGGAGACTTGGCAGCGTGGAAAAAAAAGCGGCAACAGCTGCTTCGGGCTTGAAGGCCTTGCGAAAAAGCTGAAGAGGACTATCGACGATCGGGTCAAGGCGATTCCGCAAAGCAGCCGCTTGGAGGCGTCGTTCAAGCAGGAGATCCGTGGTTGTTTGCATAGTCGCAGACTTTTCTTATTTGGGTTAAGTGTTTGGTGATTTTGTAAACGCGCGCAGTTTTTCATGACGTAGAACACTGGTCCAGGACAAAAGTGCAAGGGATGGTGCCATCGACAAACACAAAGGATGTCGGGCTCTCAGAGCGGGTCAACAAGCGTGAAGAGCGCAGTTTCGGCTTCGACCGCCTCTTGCGAGAAGGCTTTGGAATGCGAAAGGGAGGCGCTGCAAACTGCAGTGCAGGCGCAGTCGGCGCCGGTGGCTACCACTGCAAGGCCGGAGCCCGGTCTTGGAGTAGTAGCCACCGGCGACGGCCGGCGACCGCTATCTTGATGGCCACACAGCCTGTAGCAAGCCAGGGAGACCGTGTGCCAGCGGCCATGACCTCCTTGGCTTGCTACAGGCTGACTCTGAAGGCGATGACGATCCATGACTGTCTGTAGCAAGCCAGGCAGGCCAAGCTGCCAGCATGGCCTGCCTGGCTTGCTACAGACTGTCGACTCGACAGCGTTCCTCTGTGCGCAAAAGTGAGATTGACGTGCCGAGTGCTTCGTGCGTTAGCTCGCTGCAGGTGTGTGTTGCTGTCATCCAGCTACCTTTCCGATCTGTCTGGTATGTTGTTGAACAGGTAGTGTGCTATGTATCAGTCAAACTATTGTTTGGTATCTGAAAAACAAAAGAAACAAATAATTATTAAGTAAATTAAACTAATCAAACAATTTTAAAACAATTGTAAAACAATTGTCCAAACAATTGCCAAACAATTGTCCAAACAATTGTCCAAACAATTGTCAAGAATAGTTGCGCGGAGAAAATCATAGTTAGTGTAGAGATTTTCTTGGTTCCCTTATTAATTTATATAAAAGTTGCGCGGAGAATTCTATAGTTAGTGTAGAGATTTTTGTTGGTCAATTGTTTTGACAATTGTTTGGCAATTGTTTGGCAATTGTTTGGCAATTGTTTTACAATTGTTTGAAATCTGTTCAATTGTTGGCAAGGCGGTGAAATTAGCACCCCTCTTCCGGCTTGTGTTGCACCGTCCTGCCCCCCCCTCCTGGCAAGGGAACCTTCTCTTGGCAGTAGGCCCTGCCTTCCCCGAGGTCTGGCAAGGGAATGTTCTCTTGGCAGTAGGCTCTGGCCTCCGACATCTGGCAAGAGAACTTTTTCTTGGCAGTATTCCGGAAGTCTGGCCAGGGAGCGTTCTCTTGGCAGTAGGCCCTGGCCTCGGGGGGCGGGGCGCTGGGGGCGGGGCTGGGAGCAAAGGTGGGGGCGGGGGCTTGTGGGCTTGTGGGGTTGGGGGTGGGGTGGGGCAGGTGGGGGTGGGGGGGGTGGGGGCGGGGCGGGGTGGGTGGGGGTGGGGGTTGGGGGTGGGGGGTGGGGCTGGGGTTGGGGGGGGTGGGGAGTGGGGGGGGGTGCGGGTTGTAGGTGGCAGTAGGCCCCTGCCTCCCTGCCTTTTGTGCGCCTCTGCCGCCCGCCTTTCTTCTTTGTGCCCTGCCCGGTCTTTGTTGACCACGCGGCCCCCCAATCCCCCTGCCCACCACCCATATCCTTGCACGCACCCGCTCTCGGGAGCTCCCCCACACCGCGCCCCTCCCCGTGCGTCTTTTGTGTGTTAAAGGCAGGGGCTAGCTGGAAGTTGGGTTGGGGTTTGAGGGTTGGAGGAGGGGAGGTGTGGGGGTTGTCGGGGTGCGATTGAGGTGGTGGGCGTGGGTTTGGGGGGGGGGGTCGGAGCACGGAATAACAGTGGGACAGGGTCACGTTGTGTAGCTTCTTTTCCAGACATGGTGTCTAGAGCAGGCCTTGCATTTCTGAAGCGATTTTGGTTCAAGGCGGCCCTTGCTCGAGGCAGCTAGGTTTGCCTTTTAGGCAGGTAGATTTCCAAATCATCCTGTTTAGTATCGGCGTAGCCTTTAAGGCGGGTTCTTCCTGTTTGGATTCGGCGCAGCCTTGAAGGCGAGTTGCATCCATGGAGGAATTGCAGGATCCTATCGATTTTTTGGCCAACAAGCTTGTGTGCAAAGGCGCAAATCCTAAGTTCGCGTTGGTCCTTTCCAGGATGTGGGTGCGATCCTATTGCGACCAGACCGAGCCCCTTAGTTGATGGTATAATCAGACAGAGACGAATGGAGACAACCGAACAGACAGGGAAAGAGAGGCTAGAGTTGACTAGAGGGAGACCTTGACAAAAACCAGGGAGATTGAGACAGAGAGGGAAGGTTTGAGGTCGACGGGTTCGGTTTTGAGGCTCCCAGGTTTAGGCAAAGACAACAGGTAAAGGAGAGACAGCGGGAGGGAGCAAAGCCGAATCATGAACCACCAAGGGAGCATCACTTGGTGGACTTCTTGGAGTGCAGGATCTACCGCATCGAGATCGCTTTGCCAAATCTTAACGAGCTTGCCACAATGAGTAAAAGCCGGGAACTCTATTGGCTGAAGAAGATCATCAAGATCAGAGACGACCAAAGAACTGCTTTTAACTAGATGGGGTGCCGATACGACGCTACTAATTAATGGCCTTTGGCCGTTGTGTATGTGTGTGTGACACGAGCTTGCTTGCAGCACTTGACACTGCGGGCGTGGCGTGTTAAAACAAAGGTGTGGGCTGTGGATTGTGCTGGTACGGATTGCATGGATTCTAAGGATCAACGCATCAAGGCAAAGTTTGCGCCTGCTATCGGTTATATTTGGCTCTGAGAGGTTCATAGTTTTAGTATTTTTGTGGCCCGTCCAGGAACAGAGGCCACTGAAGACAATGGACATAGCCGTAAAGTCAGACCACAACCTTCCGGATGAAGAGCAGCAGTCCGGCGAAGCCGCTGCAGCCGCAGAATCCGAAGGCTCTGGCTCCGAAGGTGAATACCCGCCGCCGCCGCCGCCACCGCTTTCACAAGCTCCAACAACGATTGGACGCGACTCCAAGTTGACTCTTCGCATAAGCTACACCTTGGCCAAAGCTTGCAAGTGCAGTCTCTGTGGGTCCTTGAGCACCGACAAGAACCCTTTGGTCAGTCCAACCGAGGACGCCTTGTCAGAGATGCCGAACCGGCCTTGGGCCAAGTACAGGAAAGTCACTCCTGCAAACGAAGAGCCTGCCCGTGTCCCTGAAGGTCGCTGCTGCCTGCCTTGTCTCAACGTCTTTCGCCTTTTAGGCCGGGTGTTTACCTAAACAATCGCTATTCTATGACAGCGGGATGTGTAGTTTAAGATTCAAAATTTAGACGAACCTATAATTTAGATAGCTTAGGCTTAGATTTTGTGATGTTTTCCGTCAAGGTCTGCACGCAGTGCATGGTACCTACGCGAACTACTACAAATGGGTATCCGACAGGTCCAGGCAGAACGAACACAAAAGTTTCCTCAATTCGGTGAAAGATTGGATTCGCCAACACAATGACAATCCTTGAATGTTTTCAAGAAGCTTCGTAGTCCCGCACATTTCCCCTGACCCCGACAATTGTTTTGACCCTGACAATTGTTTTGACAATTGTTTTGACAATTGTTTGACAATTGTTTGAAATTAGTGCAATTTATTGAACAATTGTTTTTTAATTGTTTCAAAATTGTACAATTTTTTGAACAATTGTTTTTCAATTGTTTTGAAAACTGTGTTTTTCTTTAAAAATTGTTTTGCAAGGGCTTTGTTCTTGCACATTCTTTAAACATGTGCTTTGCAAAAATCTGATACGTGATATTTGCTTCAGTTGTCTTTCAAAAAATATTGTTAAAAATATTTGCAACGATTTCAAAGAAGTTTGCTTAGCCTGTTGCTTTTCTTCAAATGCGACACCAAGCTTTAGCGGATGCGATTCCGCCATTCATCATTACAACAAAAGCTAGCACATGCACTGCACTTAACAGCCGTAGCAGCCTCCGCAAAACGCACAGCGGCGCCTTTTTTGTGCCCGAAGTCTGCTCCAGAGTCCGGTCGCCAAAACTCTGAAACCAAAAGCCTGAAGCACAGTCTCTGCTGTAAACCTGGCCTGAGGCCCGTCGCCTGTGCAGCCAAGTTAGCACCGGGCCGAAGGCCAAGGCTTCACAACGAAGTCAAAGGCAAAGGTGCTAAGGCTGCTGAGGCTAAGGCTCTACTTGCTCAACCTGGACAAGGGCCAGAGGCCTGGTTGAAGCTCACAAAGACACGAGAAAAGCCAATGCATCCATAGCTTCTTCAACATCTGCAACCTTCACCGTCTCAGTGGCTGCACGGTAATCCACTGCGCAAACAGCAGACTGCCACACCGCGAGCAAAACCGGAAACGAAAAGGAGTTGCCTGCCAGATCCATCATGAGGGCTTCCGTCAGCCAAGGCTTGTCATTCATTCTTTTTTTGCGCTTCTTCGCACTATCGCCTGCAAGATTGGGAAATGGATCGTCACAAGCGTTGTATCCAGCCACATCCATGTCGCGCAAGAAAGTCTCGACCGGAAACCCTTGCAGGATCAAAGCTTCCCTCCCGAGCAGAAGCCTTGCAGGTCTCACAAGTTCAACAAAAAGAATCTGTCCAGGGAGCATGGTAGGCGCAACATGCTTTGTACACCCCTCAGCCAGCGTCATGGTGTGGATGCGGTTCAAAGACTGGCTCAGGTTGCGGAAGCCTGCCTGCGGCGCGTGGGACCGGGAAAGCACCAAGGCATCCTTTTCACGGTCTGTCAAGGTTCGAAACCATGGGCTGCTCTCCAATTCCCGACCTGCCGGTTGGCCCCATCGAACGCCTAAGGTTTCACTGGCCTTCAAGTGTTGCTCTACCCAGTTGGCAGCAGGCTGGGCTTTCGCCTTTGCCTTGGCTTTGGCATTGGCGGCCCTCTCTTCTGCTTGCGCCCGTTTGTTCTGCAACTCTAGAAGACCAGCCGAAACGGCTTCACAACTCCCATCCAAAAGGACCTCAGTGACGCACGGCGCAGATCGCATGCAAGAAGCTGTCATGCTTCTGAACATGGTTACAGACTGCGAGAGCGGACGGTCTTGGAAACAAAACTTGTGAAACGTCCGCTTGAAAAAGCAGATGTAGACCCGGCGCCGTTTGGATGGGCATCCAAACTCATGAGCATCAGTCATCATTGGCTGAGCCTCATACCCGAAACCTTTCATCGTCTGCACAACCACGTCCATGTTGCTCTGCGCAGTCTGGCCGACGTTGTCGTCAAGGCCATCCACGTTCCTGATTTGTGGTCAAATGTCGGAAGCGGATGAGAAGGACCTGAAGCCTAAAACCCTCCACTACTTCTACTTCTAACTTCAGACCCTACTTGAAAACAGATTATTTGAAAGCCCAAAAACAGTAAACACGGCAACCAACTCTACAAAAGTTGCAGCGTAGGAGCTCAAACACCACAATACCCGGCTGCTTGATGGAAACGTAGCTTGCAAAGCCTTGCCATGTCTGTGCAGTTCCGCCACGCGAGTGCCCTTCGGCTATCACATGCTTCGACATGTCTCGCCCAGGATTCTGACGGGAAACGTCTTTGCAGCTCACACCGCACATGAACACATCCACCTGCGGGACCGGGCATTCTCGATTGTGCACAACACAATGGGCTGTCTCGTTTCCTAAGTTCTGTATGTCTGCAAAGATGCAAGTGTGATGACTCTCATCGTCATCCTCATCATCTGCCCCAAACAGATCTGCGAACAGCTCATCAGCATCCGCGCAACGGTGTGAGGCAGAAACTACATGCACCCACTTTTGCTTGTCTCTGCAGGACTCACAACTGAAGCGGTGCTGCAGCCTCACAGGCCACTTCGCTCCAGCAAAACTTGCATTAATGGCATGTGCTACGTACAAGGCACCCTCGCATCCAGAGCATGCGGAACCCCACGAAAGTTGGGTCTTCGGCATCTTGGCCACAGGCCCATCTCCGAACTGCTCGGGGTAGAGTTTGGCAAAGCCATGCAAATTTTCTGCGGCACATTCCTTCAAGAGGGTGCAGTCTATGAACCACTTCGCCTCAACAACCCGGCTAGAAGCCTCGGCCATCAAGACAGGCTCAGCTCTGGAGTTGGAGGAAACTCTGGACAGTTGCCGGGACTGAGACGAGCTCGTAGCGCTTTCAGTCGTCTCGAACGCCATGCTGGGGAACAATGCCGCCGGCGGTCTAACCAGAGGCGGACATGATATATGGGCTAAAAGCCCCAAAACTCAAAACCGCGACGCAGACCGTGGTGGTGACTACCCTGGAGCGCTACAAGTTGGAGGACTTCTGACGTCTGTAGTGTTTACCGTTTAATTGCACATCCTTGTTCTGTCATTGAGCCAACATCAACATGCAGACATGACATCACTGACGGTCACACAAAACCCCTACACCCAAACTCTTTACTTAGGTTAACAGTTCACAGTGACAGTGACAAACTGGCAACATCCGCTGAAGCGTTGAAGTTGAAGCCGAAGCTGGCAAGGAACCCACCACACGTGGCCACCACAAAACTCACCCAAAACGTCTTGACTTTGTCTTAACGCACAACATGCTAGCACCCTGCACTTTTCTTCACATTTTGCTCTGCGTGAAACGTCCTGCTCTTTGGTCTTTGTCTTTGTCTGCCCTGACGGAACGGGCGAGCCGATATGAAGCTGTTAGCATTGGGAAAGTTCCCCTGAAATCTCCCGAACAACGACAACTCCATCAGCTCAAAGACTGAAGTTAAAATGTCTCTGAAGCTGAAACTTGGCCCGAAGGCTCAAAGTCACAGCTCGACATCAAAACGTGGCCAAAGGCCAAAGGCCTCAATCCACCTCTCGCTTTCGCTTTGACTTGGATCCCATCAAAACGTGGCCGAAGGCCTCAATCCCCCTCTCGCTTTCGCTTTGACTTGGATCCGCTCTTCTTCTTCTTGCTCTCGCTCTCATCGTCAGAGTCCTTTCCCTTCTTTTTCTTCTTTTCTGCCGCCTTCTTCTTCTTCTCGGGTTCCTCGGCCGGTTCTTCGGCAGGCTTGCGCTTCTTTCCTTTGTTGGGAACAGCCGCGACGGCTGACTCATCTGGTGACTTCTTGGGATTCAAGCAATCGTTTGCCTCATTGAGAACAGTCTCTGCAAAAGCGCGGAGGCTAAAATACTCGCTTCCTGGTGCAATCTGGGCCTTCAGATTGTCGCATAGATTGCTCAGCGCACTGTGCACACCCACAAGCTTCTGCATCAGCTCCTTGCCCTCTTGTGAAGCAGCGCTCAAGTTTGGCATGCGCAACAGGCAAAGGGCTGCAACAATGCTCACATGCGTCTTGCCACAAAGTGCAACCTCGTTGCAGGTCTTGGCAAAAGCCTCCGAAGACTCTCCAGCTTCCCTGAAGTTCACACCGTCTGACTTGCGAATGAGCTGCTCATGCGGCACTTCCGCTTCCGAGCCTGCGGACTGAAACACTGTCACGGCCAATGTCGCGATGTCATCTTGGAGCTCCTTGATCGTCTCAGCTCCTGACGACACCTGGCCGGACAGGCCTGCCAGCTCCTTCACCAGCGGGATCGCCGCGACTCGGTAATCCTCCTCAGCTTTGCTGCAGGCCTTGGGAAGGCTTTGAAGAAGCGATTGAAGCCTCTCGACGCTTTGCCAGGCCTGCAAGCAAGTCTTGCGAGCCGTGGCCAGGAGCCGCCTTCGCAGAAGTCCTGCACGCTGCTCGAGGCACTGCAAGGTAGAGCTGTCCGCAATCTTTGTTGGCTTCAGCTCCGCTTCAAAGTCCTTGGACTTCTGGACGTTTGCAAGTTCTTCGGACAGCAGCTTCAACGACTTGGTCAAAGACCGAACCTCACCTGATTCTGGGTTGGCAGTCGGGATCATTGCAACCTTTCAGGGGAACTCTCTGACTCAATGCTTCAGCCTTCAGCATCCCAAAACCCAAAACTCTGAACATCGGTGTCACGGCTAAGCCTTTCGAAGTTTTAGTGTTCGATACCAGTACCGCTACCGTGGCCTTGGACCTTGGATTTAGACTTATAGATCTAGCCTAGCAGTAAACAACGAAAACTTTAACCGTTGGACCAAATGACGAAAGGGACAAAGCAATGATTGCTGACAGTGACATAGTGACGAGGACGTAATCAGTAGTCATAGTCATAGTCATAGTCATAGTCATGCTGACTACATGTACATAGTGACAAAGTGAACCTATTTACTATTTGCCATTTGCGATTTGCCTGTTGCCTGGCTAGCCTGAGCTCAGCGGTGTACAGCGCAAGCAAATTATCACGAGCAACCGGGCATGCGGCTTACGGCTTACAGGCAACGCGGCAATGGAGGACTGGGCCTGCAAGAACGACTCGACGAGACCACGGAGGGGGTGCTGCTGCGGCACTTTCTGCAAAACGTCGTCGTGAACACCACGAGTGAGACCACAGGCCAAAGCGCCTTGCACATATTGATCGACGATTGGAGCCACACTGCTGAGACCCGCTGAATAGAGCAACTGCAGCTCTGCCTGAAGTGGTTTAACCAACCAGTGTTCGATTGCCTCCAAGAGAGCTGGTTCGGAAACCCAGGTTTTTGCATGCTTCCGTGCCTTTTCGGTCCAGTCTTGCATGGTTTCTGGCAGCACTTTGTCTTTGCCGACAGAAACCTGGCTGAAAGCCGGCTGCTTCATAAAAACGAATCGCATCATGGAAGCTAGCAGCGATGTCGCTTTGCTGTAATCAGCGATCAAAGCCTGCACTGCAGGCAGGCTCTGCCAGAGCTTGTTCTCAACGAAAGCGACAGCGGAAAAACCACTGAGGAACTCGTCCAAATTGATGATGGCCGTGCCTGACCCGACTGGGCCAGAGGCCGGAACGTCTGCATCTGCTTGCTGCGGAAGCTTCACCATGCAGTTGTTCTTCAGCGCCTCAAAACCCACAGTCCTTACACATGGCTGATAAGCTTTGCCCTTTGCGACGTTTGGGCTTTGGCTTGGTGCGACTATGAGTTCTAGACCCGCCAATGATTTGGACGCTAAACCCCCGATCTTGTGGAAAAATGTGGTACGATCTGTATCTATATCTATATCTATATCTATACATCCGAACACAGTGGTTAAACGCAGCTACTGGGAAACAGCCAAGGCGCAGGTGCTCGGAGATGTTCATGTTGAGTTCGTCTTGCACCATGGTGACCGCGATTTTTGACAGGCGCCCAGCGCAGGATTGCACTGTCTCAACAGCACTCATGCCGGTCTCGCTATCAGCCTTCTGCGCGGCCTTGCGCTTCAAGAAAGCGCAAGCCTGCAACTCCTCCATGGCTTTGACCGCCGGGCTGAGGTCGCTAACGATAAATGCAATTCCCTGGCTTTTTGCCGCCGTTCTGTGCGTGATCTCCTTGGCTGCCTGTTGCAGCCTTTCCAACGGCGCCTGCAAAGCTTTCAGCAACTCCTGGTAGTCGGCCTCTGCTTGCCCATGTTCCACTCTATCAGTGGCGAGAGCCACCAGAGCTTTGCCAATATCATGCTGGATGAAAAAACGCGTCATGCCATCCAACTTTTCCAGCTGCTCGGAAGCGACTCCCTGAATCTTCTGGACGTTGTCTCGGAGACTTGCCATGTCCTTCATGTCCAGAAAAGAGAAGGCTACGGACGCAGAGTCTGCGATGCTGCTTGCAAGGAACCCTTTGGCCTCAGACGCACGCGCAATGCAAGCGGCCAGCTGGCTTGCCTCATGCAAAGTCGGGGTCTCAGACTCAGGATCTGCAATGTGGACAAACCCCGAGGACTTCAGCTTCAACTCTGTCATGCAAACATTTCGCATGGCTGAAAGCAGCCGATTCTCGATCTCAGCAGATACGGCAAGGCGTAGCTGATCCATGGTTACGGATGAGCTGAGGATGTCCTGGGCATCCTTGCTGTCCTCGCAGAGGATCTCGCAAAGTCGGTCGTAGTTGCAATGCAAGCATGCTTCGTTGACCTTTGCCAAGAGACACTTCATTGCGAAACCCGGCCCAAGGCCAAAGCCCAGACTTCCCGCGAAGGTTCTGCACTTGTTCATAGTGCCAAGGAACACTTCGGGATCAGGGGTTGCCACAGGCATCATGCCCAACAGCTCTCCGAGCGCTGTGGCAGCATCGGTGATTTCAGTAAGACCTTGTAGCTGCTCTGCAAAAGCATCTTTGTTGGGGCTTTTTTCCACTTTTTTTCACATGCTCCGAGGCTTGCTTCCTGATCTGGTTGAGCTCGGTGACGCGCTTGAGACAATGTGCGCGATACTCTTTTGAAGCTGCTTGGTTTTGCGACACCGGCTCGTCATCGTAACGGATCTCTTTGAGCTTCTCGGCAAGCTTCGTATTGGCATCGTTGAGGCGACTCCTGATAGGTCAAGCTGAGATTTCCTAGCACTCGACTTTGCCTTATCAGATTTGGCTTAGCTACAGCTATAATGGGCTATAGTTTAGAGCCTATAGAAATTTATTCATAGTCTTCTATGGCAGCTTACGCCTTAGGCCTCATGTCTCATGACTTATGCTGATGGTTACCACAACTAAAGATAGTAGTACTACCCAATCCCAACCCCTCTTCATTGAATCTATAGCCTACAGCCTAAAGTCTTTAAAGATATTACACTTGCGGAAACACGGCAAAAGTTTAGCAAACATCATAAATGATTCAATACATTCGCCTGACTCCTTTCCCGAAAGCCCTAACCCTCAAGCCTAAACCCGAAACTCCGAAAGCCTAATCCCCAAACATAATTGTCTGGGCCTGTCTAGAGATCAAACCCCGATACTTGCTGTTGAGGCTCAGTGTGCGATTTGCACGCCCATCAAGCTGAAGAATGCCTACGGTAGAGCTTTTGTCGGGATCGCTTGAAGGAGCCGCACCCGCAACCGAAGGCGCAGAGAGTTTGGTCTTTCCTTTGGGCTGCGCAACCTTTGCCGACGGCGTCGGCTTGGCTGGCTTTCCACCCGTGCTGAAGCCTTCCTTTGCCTTGACTTTGGCAGCCGCAGGCGCAGGCGTCACCGTAGACTTGGTGTTGGCACCGCCTTTGTTGGACGCTGCCGCTGCTGCTTTTGCCTTCTTGGCTGCTGGGGCGAGCATCGCCAACCCGGCCGAAGGCCCTGTCTGGGCCTCCTCTTCTGAGCTGGAGCCACTGCTGCTGCCGTCGTCTTCGGCTTTCACTGGCAA